TACATTTGTATAATGTTTAAAACGTAGGTGAGATCATTAGATTACATTTTTTTAGAAATTACACCATGTGTGCCATTGGTGCCACTTTGAATTCTTTTTATTACTTCTTTGTATTTTTATCTAGAAACAGCTATCAAAACAGATATTTCCAAATGGAGTTTAGGTTGATAATAATTCTAACAGCACATCGAATTGTGGTTAAGTATAACCATTGAATAAGGTGCTTATTCAATGGTATAACCATAACATAACATATAACGCTCTGAATAACGGTTCACGTTACTGTTGCCTGAATGTATAGAGTAAAAAGAAAAAGGAATAGAAATTCGAATTTCGACTATATTTCTGACGTTAAGAGCCACCAGGGAATAAGCGGCAGTGCAAAATTCTCACATACGCAACAAATGCTCCATTTGATTATCCAAAAACTTAACATTTCAAAAACAGATGCAATACCCTGACAAATAAAAGCTGACCTTTAACAACAATAAATGCCTGCGTGCGGGGTATTAGGTCCAAATAAGCTTTGTAGGCTTTTCTTTCTCTCGGGAATTTTGATTTAAAAAATGTTTTTGTGTGTTTATTGCGACTCGGATAGAGTTTTCATGACATATTTTTCTTATCGTAGTCCAAGAATTGTGTCAGGTGTTCATGAAAATTTCTGTAGTTAATTTTTTGGAGTTTTCGATAGCTGATCGAGGCTACCGAGTTTCCCAAATTATTAATTAGGTCAATATTGGGATTGTAGCAGATGCCGGAAGTGTACACTTCTTCGCGTAGGTATGTGATATTGTTCCTTTGCTGCGGGGTCGCCACTTTAGGGTATGGTGAGCTTCCGCGGTTGAGAACTGGTTAGCATTTTAAAGTGTTCTTTTGTCCCGGAGTGACCAGCGCATTACATTACATTATTAACTTGCTTTGACTTTGACTTTGATTTTTGACCTTTCGTCACTCCTTTCTGACCTATATCTATTTCTTTTACGTTTCACTTTGTTCTTTCCCATACTCATTTCTCTTCCGCTGTCTGTTATTATAATATCTCCTACTATTGTAAAAATCACGGTCTCCATGATGTTCTCGGTCTTATTGATCCTGACTTCTATAAGAAACCAAATTTTTAAATGCGTCTTCTATAACTCTCGTTGCGGTCACTTCACTTCCAAGTAATGGCATCTTTATTTCTCTTCTTTGGATTCTCTTTTTTATATTCTAGTTACATTATTTCCTTTAACTTCTTATTTTAAATCAAATCTCTTTCTCGTTAGAGACAATTGCAGATTCTGATATCCTATATACTTCTCATTTCTTGGAGCTGAGCGTCCCCTATTACTATGCAATATGTACTTCATCCTGGCGGTTCATTCTTTACTCGATCCACAATTTCCCCTTGAACTTGTTCAAAGTTTTCCTTGCTGTAACTTTGTTCCACTCTAATTGTATTGCCTACATGCTTTCTCCAAATTAACTCATGTCAATTCTCAGATTTTCAATTTCATTATTTAGATTTTCGTTTGTTCCGTATATTTTTTCATCCATCTTCGTTTCTATACATTTAAATTTCTCACACATACCTTCTTGTCTTCATCATCAATAGTATTAAATAATTCCGTCCGTCTGCTTTTTTCCTCTCCTTGTTGACTTCATACCTTGTTGTCCCAGAGGCGAGAAATTGTCCCCAAAGGCCATTACCTTTCAGCTCTATAAAAGATTTGTGTTTGCAATTATTTTTTATTTTTTCAAATAACCAAATGGCGATCGATAAAAAAATCACAAACCAAGATTTTTTGATAACCAGCCCATCGACAACATTTATCCTAAACATTTTTTTAATTTTTTTAAATTTCGTTTTCCAAAATGCATCGATACAGGTACCCATGTACAGAGATAACTCGCAAATAGAGGAGCTGTGAAGAAAGAAAGAGAAGAATGAGAGGTGTAATGGCAAAACAAATATTCAACTAATATCTGCAGAATGCTCAAAAGCGTGAAAGATATTGAATTGAGGAAAATACTGGAGTCTGGAGCGTAATACTGTATGTTTGTGAAGCATGGACAATAATTAAGAATGACCAAATGAATAGAAGTATTGGCATATGGAGAAGAACGATTCGATTGGGAAGACAGAGTAAGGAATGAGGAAGTACAGCAACCAGTTGGAGAAAGGTGATAAACCATAGATAACGAACAAAAGAAAGAGAATTTGGTTGGGTCACGTATTAAGAAAAAAACTGTTTGCTAAGAGGTACGTTGTGAAAGGAACTGTGAACAGAAGGAAAGTATTATAGGAAGCAGAAGGATGAAAATATATTTTTCTATAAACTTTTAAAATGCACAATATATTTTCAGAGGAACGATAAAATCATCTATCAAGGTTTTTATGATTTATATATTAAAACAACACATTATTTTCAAAAACATAGGTATTCGCGACTAGATCTAATCAAATATATACACATTAGGCACATTACTAGAAAATAAGTTTCACTCAGCTTCCTCGGATGTTTAGAACCAAACCACGTTTTCGTACAGAAAACATCGTCATATTTAGCAGGGCAAAAATGTTGATAAAGTGAAATTACATCAGAGGACTTGTTTTAAAAATCTTCACAGCTCCTGGTATGTACGAGTATTCTTATAAATATTTTGGAAAACCTTCAACAAGCTTTCTAACAGCTTTCTCGTTATTCTCTTCATCAGTAACGAACAAAACACAAAGACGGGTTAAAATTTTCCTGTCTTCAGCGGTAAGCTAAAATAAAATGTTTATAAACTAAAACTAGTACAACCATACCTTTTTTCCGATTTCAGATGGCATTAGCAAATATCGCTCCTTTGAATCCCGAAAGAGCGAATAATATCTGTAACATAAGAATCATTAAAGATCGATACTTAATTGTATTGCGCTAACCTATCATCTAACTGGTTGTCTTTAATGTAATGGATAATCGCCTTTGCGCCCATGAATGTGTTACGAACGAAACTTGCCAGACCATCCGTTCTCTCTTGAGATTTCATGTTATTATGCAAATCAAAAATGAATTTCAAAAACCTGGAAATAATTTACTGATGTATCGTAATTTAAATTCAACTTACCTTTGTTTGAAAACTACCGAGTTGGCACAAGATAAGGCTCTAAGATACTTTTGTCTCAAAATATCGTCATCAGTTAAACTATACTGTTGAATAAGAAAATTCCACAACTGAACTGTGGGCTTTTGCATTGCGGCACATAACCACATTTCCATATCATAATTTCTCAGAGGTTTTCCAGTAGCTTTCCATTCTGTTAGCATCCTCAGACCCTGTAACCTACACCGAAAGTCTCCCAATGTACACAACATTTTCATAATTTCCTCTCTTTTTAGTTTGTCCATGTGTGTATCATATTCTCTTGCGTACAACCCTACTCCGTCAAGGGACGCTTTTAAAAGTGTAATTAGATAACCCTGTAATGCTATAAGTATATATTTCCATTGCGAACTTCGCTTACCTTTACAATCCCGAATTCGTTGTCGTCTCGTCGAATTTCATTTAATTCAAAAATTATATCCAGATCAGTCAGATAACTCTTAATCGGAATGTAGTCTTGTTCTTTGGCCAAATACGATGTAAAATCCAAGAAAATATCCGTATCAAGTTTATCCCTAATAAAGAAGAAGAAGGCATCATCTATTAATTGGGCGCGATTTACCGCCGGGATTAATTCATAATCCTTTGAGTGCAAAAACTCCGTTAAACGTCTCCAATTTTCATTATCGTATGCCACTCGATAGTAACCTACAAAAATAGCGTTATAATTTAAGGGATGGGGCATTTTTGAGTTCTCTCTCATTTCTCAGATAAAAAATATTAGCCAAAATTCAGATTCTTCGGTTTCAAAGTAGATGTTACTTTTATAATCTCGTATGGTAGCGTAATCTTGGTTCCACACCAGTACGAATCAGATCGATGGTGACGTTTTTGTTGCTTTCTCGGTTTGTATAAGTGCACAAAATTTGTAATCAATGAATACCGCCCTAATTATGAGGTACCACCAAAAATTAAATCGGCGGGGATACGATCGCGTTTAGTTGAAGACACCCATCTGCCTTTAGAGAGTTTATTGCTCTGTATGAGAGCACACAATTTGTTGTTATCGGCAATAAATAGCAGAAAATTAGTACAAAACTATTAGCTTCAATTTGTTCGACAATTGTACTTGGGTGTCACATAGCGAAGCAAACCGTGTCCGCCATTTTCTTTTTAATATCTCGATAAATTGATACCACAAAAATGTAACTTATGAATGGATGATTGATTCATGTACTTATACAATGCGTTGATGAGTAAAGTGCGACAAACTTCAAGGGGTGATTCTGCATAATAAAGTAATGACAGTTAGCTATATAACTTTTGTCCGCAAATGCTTGTTTAGCCAGATACGCAATTTCCATGCAATTTTGTAATGAACTTTTCTTGTTTAATTCTCACCTGTTGCGTGCTTATTTACTAAAATCCATCCTCGAGGTTCACCTGTCTGTGCCGTAACAGTTTTATTGGTCATCCACAAATCAGTAACGGTGCTTTCAAAGTTCATCCTATTCTGAAAGGTATATGTTAAAGGAATGTACCAAATATTGTCCTCTGAATCGCCACTCAAATCATTCACTTGCTGAAAAATAACGTTTCTTCATATTAACTTAACTCAAATGAAAAACCTGCGAAAAAGTGACATCTCCTGTTGTGTAGTGTCTAATAACGGTAACAATTGGATATCCTGAACTTTTGGCCCAGTTTGATAAAATCGTATGTAGGTTTAGCCCTCCTAACAAATGCATCTTGCCTTCTCTACGCAAGATGTCTAAGTAACAATCATACAGGTTTTTTGGTTCAGTAACTCGTAATTTACTAAAAATCAAAATATGTTACACAATTCGTGGACCATTGCCACTTACTAGGTGTTCAAGTATAGTCGCAGACCATTTTGGAAAACGGATTCGGTTAATATGTGTTTAGTCATTCTAATGACCGTTGAGGCTAAAAATTTTAAATAAGTAATTTGGCCGCACACCTAAATTACTATAAGTTTAAATACCACGGTGTATAATAATGGAGGTTTATGTACTTCTTATCTTCAGAAGTTATGATCAATGCAATGTAAGAAAGATGTCAGGGAATAAGCAGCACATAACATGAAATTTTAAAATAGTACAGCTAAATTAAGCAAAAAAAAGACAAAATTCGGAAATTAATCTCGTACTTTTGAAATTTGGCAGAGTTGTTCACGGAGGTATTCTGATGCACATATCAAAAATCACCGGTACCTAGAGGAAAGCGGGAAGCCGCTTAAAGGTAAATTTTTGAGTTCTTCCAAAATACTCGTATATTCAATTAAATTTCCTATAAGTAGGGTTTTATGCTTAAATATCGTAAGGTTGATAGTTTATGAGTTATAGTGAGGGAGAATTGTAAAAATGATGTTGAAAATCAAGTTTTCGTCTGAATTGCATTTACAAAAACTCACGATGAAAGGCTAATAAGTAATAACATATAAATATGAAGTTTTGAATCCGATCGGGCCCAATTGTGAATCTGAACCATCCAGCCACACAGCAAAAAATTTCATCACAATCTGTCCAGCCGGTTAGGAGAAGTTCAGTCACAAACACACGTACAGAAAAGTTGTAGGTATACACAGGGTGCCCATTACCTATGTATGGAATATAGCATTACTCGGTAAATATCGACTTTATAAAATAAATTGTACTTATATTAAAGTTATTTGCCATTTTATTTTCCATTCCATTCCATTCAATTTTTTTAAATTTCAGTAAACAAATGAGTAGCCAATAACACTTTAATTTTTTTAAATAGCATTATTAGGCTCATTTGATACAGATTTTTTTTCTCTTTTCGATTACATAAAATCTTAATACCATTATAGTAGAAAATTCTTGAAAAAAATATAAAAAACTGTTATAAGTTAATTTCGCCATTAACATCAACATGGTTATCCAAGATCTCTTTTATTTGTCTTAACAATTGAATGTGTGATAGAATTTTGTTTATTTAAGTAACTTGGTGCATCGGAAAATAAAAATGGTTCATTTAACAGAAACTGAACGGATACAAATTTTTATTATGGTTGGTTATGGAGATCGCAAACGAACACAATTATAGAAGTAGGTAAAATTTTTAATGAGCGTTATCCAAATCGAGAACCAATTACCCAGTCATTATAGTTAGCAAAACTTTGGAACGGTTTAGAGACAATGGACGTGTTACAGATTTGTGGTAGACTGGTCCGAAGAGACAAATGAAGATAAAAAGCTCGATGTTTTACTAGAAATCGAAGAAAATCCAAATACTTCAACTCATCAGTTATGTTTAAACCATGCCGTAAGTAAAGGTTCAATACACAAAATAGTACATTCAGAAAAATTACATCGGTACAAACCGACTTTATTGCAAGAATTATCCATCGACATGTTGAGTTTTGTGAATTTATGATGGAGCGAATCAACAACCATTTTCGCTATAATATTGATTTTTCTGACGTAGCTACGTTTTGTTTAAATGAAAATGTAAATAGGCATAATTGTCGATATTTGGCCGCTGAAAATCCCCACTGAATGATCCAAAATCATACCCAAATACCACAAAAATAAAACGTATGGGTGGGAATTTGTGCAGATTACATAATTGGACATTTCTTTATTCGTGGTACTCTAACTGGTGAGCGTTATTTTCAATTATTGCAGCACTAAATTATTCCAGCTTGTCATGTCAAGCAAATCTTGATGATCTTTGGTTTCAACAAGATGGGGCACTGTCATTTAGCGGGACGCCAATATTTAGATGTGGTATTTGCGGCCCGTTGAATAAGTAGAAAAGGGTATCTGGAGTACGGGAGCCTCCGCAATCTCCGGATCTTACACCTTGCGACTTCTTCTTCTGGGGATATTTGAAATCAAAAGTGTATACAAACCAACGTCAGAATCTGACCGAATTAGACAACAAATACAAGCTGAAGCTCCAGTAATTTCACCTAGATTGCTCAAAAATTCTTTTCAAGCTTTGCAGTTAATGGCGAACATTTTGAACACTTATTACCATGAAAACCGTTTTATTGCTAATTTTGTATTATTTAAAAAAATTAAAGTGTTATTCGTTACTCATTTGTTTACCGAAAACTAAAAATATTGAACCCTAAACCGTTTCAATGTTTTGCTAACCACTGACTGTGTAATTGGTTCTAGATTTGGATGACGCTCATTAAAAATTTCTCATACTTATAATTGTGTTCGTTTGCGATCTCCATTACCAACCATAATTAAAATTTTTATGCGCTCAGTTTCCATTAAATGAACCATTTTTATTTTTCGATGCACCAACTTCTTTAAATGAACTGTATTCTATCACATTAATGACCTTCAATTGTTAAGACAAATAAGAGATCTCGGATAACTACATTGATGTTAATGGTGAAATTAACTTATAATATATAAAAAAATCTCTATCAAATAAGCCTAATGAAAGAGTACATTACTATTTAAAAAAATTAAAGTGGTATTCGTTTAAATTTGGCAAAGTTGCGTATTTTGATACTTAACAAAATGCAGTTTTGAAACTCAAAAAATTCCGACAGCTTTCGGAGATATCCGGATAAGAAGGAAATTTTGCAAAATTAGTTAATTAATTAAAATTAGTTAATTAGTTAATTAAAAAAAAATTTCAAAATAAATAACACATTATTATGACCACTTTTTTCCCTCTACAAAGTACAACACAAGATATCAGTTTTAAATTTTAAATCGGACGGTTCGCCTCCTGTCAACATTCAAAAATGTAAACATCACAATTTTTTAAATATTGTTAAAATATATTCTTTTTTGCCTAGAAAACTTTGTCTTGAGTAGTCTACGTACGAAGTTTCGTGCGTTTTTACGAATTAATACCGCTATTTCCTATTAAAAGATGTTTGCACTTTTGAAATCAGAAAAAAATTCTCTATCAAATGAGACAAAAAGTAAAAATGACTTCCATAAGAAAAAACAATGTTGATAAATGTTTACTGGAGACGAAACGTCAAACTTAAAACTTAAATTGTAGAGGGAAAAGAGATCCCCATGGTGTCTCTCGAATTTGAATCAACCTGTATAATACTTTAACTTTTATGGAGCACACTTTTATCGAAAGTTACGATATTTAAAAAAAAACTAAATAAATTAGGTTTGAACGGCTCACTTTTCCCTCTCACCCCTTAGTAAGGGGGGGGGGATTTTTGATAAGTGCATCAGGACACCTCAGTGAACAACTCTGCAAAATTTAAAAAGTACACATTTCCGATCTTTTGCAAATTTCGCTGGACCAAAAGAACTAAATACCTACACGACGGCATGTATACCTATCTTAAACCGTCTACATGCTTACTCTGTCTTCAGATAGAGCCGTACGAATACACCTTTCGTATGTTACATCGTGTTAAATTTACCTTTCTGATAAGAAATAATTGCTGCTGGAAATACGTAACTTGCTTCAAAAATGAAATCCATAGGTTCGGTGGACGGTAGGAGATCTTCACGAAGTGATCGCTGAAATTCCTCGACAACGTATTGCTCATCTAACCGCCAACTTGATCTTAACTGTATAGAGAATGGACGTGTTGATATGAAAGCAATATTGGAAACAAGTTCATAATCATTAAAAACGTACCTCGGCGGCTATAAAATATTGAAAATATGTAGCGAATCCCTCATTTAACCACATATAATGCCATGATTTTAATGTAACGAGATTTCCAAACCATTGGTGTGCAATTTCATGCGAGTTGTAAGTCAAACACGTCTGAATAGCCCACCGCGTATTGTTATCTGGACAGATCACATACTGTTCGCTATAAGTACAAATTTACCACCTAATCATAAGCCAGAGTCTGCCTATTTTACTCAAATGTAATCAGACCCCAATTTTCCATTCCACCAACTTTGTTGACGACACCAACTATATCAAGCTTGTCTAGTAAATATTTAATACCGGTGTACTTCTCCATTGCATCTAGGACGTTTGCAGCTTCCGTCAGAACAAAATCGGTACTATCCTCCGTAAATTGTGGTCTGACTAAAAGTCGAATTTTCCCATTTTGCCTAGTGTATTTCATATTGCAAATAATAAAGGCCACAAGATAAGTTGACATGGGAGGCGTTTCTTTGTAAACATCTTGGTAGCGATCACCTCCCAAGTACCTTAAAAGTATAACAGTAGATAGTGAATAACAGTAGAATTCCTTACAATGTCTGCACTAGTGGAGAGTTTGAAGCTGAAATTGAAGAAGAGGAACGGATCAAATTTACTATAAATGTCGCTTTCAAGTGTGGTTCGTCGAAGCAGGGAAACGTTTCCCTTGCAGACGTAGGCTCAAAGTCACTTAAGGTAATAAACCTAAAACACCTTCTACAAAAGTTCAATAATGCGGTGTTCATTACCCCTCTGATTTATGTAAACTCTCAAACTTCTCGATGTAGAATCCAGTTCTTGAGTCGGTAAAGGTGCCTTGATAATTTTCGATAGTCAATGTATAAACCCTTCCTCTTTGTAACTCTGTTTCCAATATTATAACAAAAAAATCTTTTTCCTCATCCGAAATCGTATCTTTGTGGAACACCTCATTTCCATAGACATCGCGTATTTTTATGGAATTGTTCGGAATCTCAAGCGATTTCGCGTGTAAAGTAATGTTTGATGTGCTTTCCAAAGCCTGTAGTTCAATTGAAACGCTTCCACGATAATTTGTTTGTGTTAATGGCTCTAATGTTACGATGTAACGCAACGGTTTAACACTCTCAGGAAGAAAATAGTCTTCTGTTTGACATATTACTTGAGTATTAAAAATTGTGAAATAAATGATTAATTTTAACACCTTCATCATACAGTATAGATGCACAAACGAAAGTTTGGTACTGTTCTAATTTCATTAAGCAAAACGATAATAAAGTCATTAGCTTTACATCATAGCGATATGATAATTTTATTTATGTAAGAAGATAAAAGCATACGAGGAAATTATGGTATTTATTTTGAATCAGTCGTTTTCCCAAACGGAAGTGTGCTCTGACGAATAAGTCGCAGAATCCTGGCAATTTTGTTTATTGCCAGGTAGTATTGAAAGGCAAACCTTTGTAACTACTATAAAGGGTATTGTGGGTGTTATGAATGAAATAACACAGATAAGATCAGCAGCATGTGTCTTGATGGCCTCTGGCCTGAGATATATACACTATGTCAATTTCAAGGCGAGATCAAAATAGCATATATGTTAACCCCGGTGCCCTCAACCCTCATCGGGTCCTTGAATATTTTTAATGGTAACAGTGCGTGATCGTTGGGAAACTTTAAAAATGCTTTTCAACCATACACAGTTATGGGCTTCCACTGTGAAAGGTACTCAATTAGCGAACTGAATCGAATGATTATTAAAATAATTACTGAAACAATAGGGGAGGGTGGTCAAACTGTAATCAACCATTTTATTATTCGAAAAGACCATTATTTTTTGGTAATTTTGCATTCACTTTGTTTTATCTCCAGTGCGGTTTGAAAGGGCATAGTAAATTAAAATGAGTGGGTTCCAAACAAGAAGGTTCCAAGTGCCAAGATTGTCCAGCCTTACTTTCGCTAGATATTTAAAAGACGTATTTTATCCATTTCGTTTGATTTTCGGGTACGACCCTTTTAGTAAGCTGACGCTGTAATTGGACGACTGGGCGAGTCGAATGCACGTTTTGCACGTTTTTTTGTATCACCGTAAAAGAAGAAATTTCTACTACTCAAGATCGTACACTTATTATATTTTACCCATTTCGTATGTTTAGAACAAATTTATATTCTCAGATCCTCTGTTGCGTCAGCGAATATGTAAATTAACGTCGGAATTTTCAGGGTAAAAAAAATACACTCATACATTTAATGGATTTAATGGAAACGCTCGTTAGATTTCCGTTTCGATAAAGGAATACTCGCAATAACTACTTAGTTTTTTTTTGCGCGATCGGTCATTTCTGACTATTTACCATGGGTGTTTCCATGACAGTACGTAGAATTTACCAGTTGCTATGATTACGACGACGCCAAAATTACTTACCGATCTAAAAACAGAACAGCAAAAATACTTACCGACGCCTTTTTAAAAATCAACAGTCTTACATTACATTTAATCTTTAATTATTGTTAGGTACATTAATCGTACAATTTGTGCTGTTGTTTCCTATAGCAAGACGCTATTTCTTAGTGCATAGTTATATTGGTTGGATAATTTTAATTTCGATCGCGCAAAAAATGTTATAAGCACGTCGAACGTTAAGGGTTACCGTTCTCAGACAATAATTGGAGTCGTCGCTTCGCTCCTCCTCCAAACAATTGTCTTCGAACGGTAAAAATCCCTTACCGTTCTCCATACTTAATATACTATTATGCTCGCATCTTTCTGAGAACTAATTTACTTTTTGACTATCTGTTGCCCAGATCCGACTTAATCGCCCGTTTTCTGCTCGAAACGAACTAATATCTTGGACCACATACTAAAAGATATCGTAGCCCAAAACCGAATGCCTCTCCAAAAATCCCGGGAAGATCCCTACTTTACTTTGTAACTAGTTAACGCCTTTTTCAACATGGCGTTCGGTAATTAAAATGCAAATCTATTTCACGGTGACGTGATATTACGTCAGCACCTTTGGTTACAGGAGCCCCAATTAAGGTAATTTTTAATTTAGAAAGCTTTCTATAATATAAAGCGCTAACGTTGTAACCTATTATTATTATTAAATTTGAAAACGATGTTCTATCGTCGAAGGCCACGCCACGTGAGCACTATTAGCACAGACAATATATACTATGTTGTCTGTGCTATTAGTAATACTAAAGACGCTAAGATAGCAGTCGATTTTTCGAAAAGTTACAAAATGGCACCATCTAACGAAGCACTATTATGTATGCGTCTAGTGCGTATGTAGTATAGCAAATACGAAGGGAACAAAGACAAGAAGAAAAGATCTAAATGCATTGAAGTAAGAAAGCAAAAATTACAAGAGAGGAAATCAGTAGATGGAAAACAATCAAAGGAAATCAACGAAAGAATGGATACGCTCGCACCCTCGGAAGCGATAAACAGTTACATAATGTAGAGATATAAATGATTAAGAGAAACTAGTAGAAGTTGAGATGTTTATGAGATAGAAACTAGGCATAAAGATACAAATAAATAAAAGGAGAAAGAAAAGTAGAAAAGGCAAAGGAAAAAATGAAAGTGATGAAAAATAAAATAAAACTGAAAAATAATAGAGAAAATGTGTATCAATGATGATCTCTCAAAAAAGACAGCGAAATACAAGGCATATCAGAAGAGTAGCGCAAAAAAGACATTTATTTCACAAAAAAAAAACGCAATACGAATAGGTAAAAGGTGGCTAATTTCTAAATAATCTTCCGTTTAGCCATTTCCCAAGTGAGGTTATGCATGCACTACTTGTTTATACGCCCTAATTGCGCCAACAACTCACGGGCGTATGGTCATACGTCATTAATTATTCTGGGATAAATTATCGGAAGAAATCGAAGAGGCTCCTAGTAATTGATGACCCAAATGGAAGAGTATAGGTAGAAAGAACTAAGGATTCAGGAAAACAATATGCACGCATGGCGTACCTTAAATAATAATTGAAGAAGTTTGGTTGATGTCTGTACTTCTCATGCATACACTGTACACCAATACACTAGGGAAGTAAAGCGCACAGGTGAGACATCTATAATAGATTGCATTATAATAGACAGATATCACAGGAAAAATAAAAGGTACACGAGTATACAGAGGACAAGAAATATATTTGATCACTATTTGGTAATGTCAAAATGAAGATCCTTTCAGGACAATGCAACACGAAACATTAGGGAAATATGCATAGAAAAAGTCAAACATATATGCTGAAAGAAGAGGAATTGAGGCAAATTAAAATAGATAAAATCAAAGTATCAGTTGCAGAGCTATGGATACGTATTAAAGGGAGCATGATACAGGCAGCAACAATCAATCGGTGGAGCAAAGAACTGAAAAAGGAAGTAAAAAATAAAAAACTAAGATGGAAAGAATACTTGGGTAGTAAATATATGGTGACAAATTTAACGATTATAATGATCAAAAAAATAAAGTGAAGGAAATGGTAAAAGAAGCCAAACAGAAAACGTGGGAAAGGAATATCACAGACAATTAATGAGATTAAAACAAAGGAAGCAAAAAGTAAGTGACAGAAGAAGAAGATATTATACAGAGATTGAAGGAATACTTTGAGGGAATGTTAACAACAGACCAAACAACTAGAAATAAAGAAGATCAACACGTAGAACACGAAGACTGGCAATTCCCATCACAGAAATTCTCTTCTAAAGAGTATTTAGGACAAGTAGAAGAGCTTTGTCGGAGTTTTACGCAGTCATAGATGATATAATAAAAAAAGTAAGAAGAAAAACTAGAAAGTTAAAAAAGAAACCTGAGAATAGTAGCGTTAGCGGAAGTGCATTTTTTAAATGATTTGATAGATAGTTTGGATAAAGGATGATATGTATCATCCATCACTGATTGTGAAAATCGATGCCACATCCACCAATATGCACATTTGTGACTCTGAACTACTTATATCTAATTATAATTTTAAGAAATGCAATTTTGCAAATTTAGTGCGTGCTTTAAGAGATGCGGACTGGACGGAAGTCATGAGTTGTACAGACATTAATATTGCTGTAGAAAAGTTCTACTTCATGATTTATGGTATCTTTGATGTTTGCGATCCCTTATCATCAAAAAAAAAGGTCAAAATATCCTGTATGGTTTACAAATGAAATTATTCAACTATGTAAATTGAAATCTGTCTATAATAAAACGAAACGCATTTCGGAAATCCACTTTAGCCAATACAAAAAAATAAGAAAGGATTTGAAACTTCTTACTGATAAGACGTATAGGTAAACTATATGTAAAGGAGGTGGAGGCTAATATCAATAATTCAGTCAATAATTTTTGGACTTTCGTCAACAAGAATCGCGCTTCGAATTTAAATAAAACAGCCATAAAACAGAATGAAAAGGAATTAACGAATAGTGAAGCTTGTGAAACATTTGCGAAATTCTTTGAATCAGTACATTCAGATGTTGGTAGTACGAGTACTTACAACACCGATTTTAAAGATATTAGTCGAAATGAAATTTTAGATATGCTAAACGATCTTGAGATTAGTGTTGAAGATTATAATAAGGCAGTGAAAAAATTGAAACCAAAACTGACTGATTTGATACCACCATATGTTTTAAAGGGCTGTTCGGAATATTTGCAGCAACCACTTCTTTACATATATAAATTATCTATCAGTCAAGCTAAATTTCCTGAGCGCTGGAAAGATAATATCATGATGCCTTTGCATAAGGCAGGAAGCACTTCCAATGTTGAAAATTATAGACCTATTACTATAATCTCAGCTCCTGCGAAACTTTTTGAAGTAATTATATATGAGAAGTTGTTGCGTCAGGTTAGGCCCGTTATCTCAGAAGTTCAACACGGTTTCATTCCCCATAAATCCACAATTTCTAACTTACATGTTTTCACAAATCATGTCTATGAGTGTCTGGAAAGAAACAATCAGATGGATGTGATTTATACAGATTTTAGGAAGGCATTTCAGTACATTTTGTTGTTAAGAAAGCTTTATCAGTATGGCCATAGAGTAAATAATATATGGCCTATCAAACAATTTGTTACACTTTTTTGCTTCTTATTTACGCAGTCGCAAACTTGCAGTGAAATTTAATGGTAACACATCAGGCAAATTTGAAGCTAATTCTGGAGTACCGCAAGGCTCTATTTTGGGACCTTTGCTGTTTCTGATTTTTATAAATGATCTGCCTTCTCAGTTTAGTAACTGTCAATCTTTACTTTTCGCGGATGACCAAAAAATATTTATGCCTATAACCAGTATTTCTGATTGTTTAAATCTTCAAAATGATCTTAATAAATTGTATCAGTGGCGCCGTTTGAATAAATTACCTCTAAACATAAAAAAGTGCAATGTATTATCGTTTTAGCGCAAGAAGAGTACACTCTTTTTTAATTATGAAATTAACGGGTTAAGTTTGGAACGTGTAACTTCCATAAAGGATCTTGGAGTAACTTACGATGATAAATTGAACTTTAATAAACACATAAATATTACAGTGGCTGGTGCATACAAAACTTTGGGTTTTCTTGTGAGGCAAACCAAGAATTTCAAAAACATAAGTACAGTTAAACGAATTTATTTTACATTAGTTAGACCAAAGCTAGAATATGCTAGCACAGTTTGGCATCCAAATACGTGTAATTCAATAAAAGCAATTGAAAAAGTCCAAAATAAGTTTTTACGATTTCTCTATTATAAAAAATTTCGCACTTATCCTAACTGTAACAGTGTTAGATCGGTTGAACTAAGGAAAGTTTTTGAAATCCAAAGCTTAGTGAATAGGAGAAATATAATTTTAATGCAGTTGGCTTTTAATATTCTGAATTACAGGATCAAAGATAGTTATCTTTTAACTCTAATGCAAATCAAAATTCCGCGTGTATCTGCCAGAAATGTACCTTTTTTACACGTACCTGTAGTCACGTACGCTTACAATAGACCGTTTCTGATAATGTATAGACTTGTCAACGAATTATTTAGTTTACTAGATTTAGACTTTACTGTAATATTTAACATTTTTTCCAAACAATTAATAAAACATTACGATTTCAATTAAGGATAAAAGAAAAAAAATTAGTAGGGCTTCTTACACCCTAACAGTATCATATTTTTTTAATTTTTTGTAGGTGAAAGTTTGTAGCATTTTTTTAGTTTGAATGTTATTATTAGATTTATATACTTATTATTCAGCAACCCTTAATTAATAGATAATAGATACCTGCTACGTAATTAGGGCTGTGCCCTGTGTAGTTTGTAACAATAAATAAATAAATAAATAAATAAATGAAAAAGTTCCCGATAGGAACTTGTAAACGATAGCTCTGGTAGCTGGTTCGCTAGCTAAACCTTTTGTTGTAAACGAGGTTGTAAATCTTCATTTACACAGAACCTTATACAGATACTATTTATTTCACGACACAAATTTATATACCTACATTATTTACAACACCCTTTAATATAAATTGAGCACTATGAACATTTTCAGTCGACCTACTTCGATTGTAGGCGAAATGTGACTGCCTTGAAACTTAAAAGTGAACTAATTAACACCCTAAAACTAAGAACTTTTATTGCAACCATATGGGCTGCAATATTAGAGCAAAGGACCGCATGCAAGCGGCTCCTTTGCCTAGTCACGTATCATATAACTTAAAATTTAGGGTGAAAAGCGAAAACAGAAAGAACACGGAAGTCATAAATCGAAGTAAACATATGAAATTTGTAAAACCGCACAAAGCGTGTGAAAGATTGAAAATGAAAAAATTCTAACAGTTCTTAAACAAAAAAAAATAAATGGAACTTAACAAAAATACTTATAAATTAACAATATAAAGACCGGCGGCGTCTAAATTGACAAACAATAGATATGAAAAAAAAAACGAGCAGGACAAAATAATCTGCATTATGGTCAAAAGCCTTTAAGGGAAGAAATTAAAAAATCAATGTTGAATAAACGAATGATGGCGATAGGACAAAATAACGTAAACATTCCAATACATATATAATAAAATAAAGAATAAAATAAATATAAAATCCCGAAAAATGGTAAAATAAAATAAAAGTAGTACATTTATAAATACAAAAGCAATACCTTGAAAAACAAAAATTACAATTTTTAATCCATTTATGGGTGCGAAACCTTGGTAGTCACAAATCAAACCGCAACAAAAATATATGCGATCGAAATGAAATACATAAGAGGGGCAGCGGAACGGGAGTGGGATAACGGGGATATCGAGACCGACAAACTTTAGGAAGACATAGTAAGAAAAGAACTAAAAGTAGAGCCGATAAGGGACTCGATCGAACGGCAACAATTAAAATAGTTGGGGCACCTGATGAGTATATGGACGAAAGAAAATCATCGAAAAATGTATGGCAAGCCAGGCCATGGTGAAAAGGAAAAAGGGTAAGGCCAAGGAAGACATGGAACAAGGAAACAATAGAAAACCTCCGAGAAGAGGTCCTGAATTGGGGTGGTGGAAAAACACTAACAAGAGAAAACAGAATAAGGAAGGAAAAATATACAATCTAGCCAGAATCCAGAATCTATCTAACTATAAGAAACGTTCATATCGAAAACATTTTTGACTTTTATCTAAATTATAAATTGTAATAAATTAACAATAAGGTAAGATTGTAGAAGTAAGTACCATATCATTAAAAAAATGTTCTTGAGGCCCTGCATTCCTCCTTGAAATCCTGAAACTTATGTACCGAAGTCCCACCGGTTTATCCCTTGGTCTAATTTAAATGTATCTTTACACTAAATCAGCAATAAGTTTGTGTTTATGCCTAATATTTTAAAACATCCTATATAACATAAACCAATAGAATTGTGACAGAACCACAACCACTGCAACCATACAGTAGCTACTGCTGTTCTGTTGGTAGGTTCTAGGTTATGTTTACATTTATTAACAAGAACTGAAGAATATGAAACTGTAATATCATCAAATATGAAATTGGACAAAATCTGTAGGACATGTTTAGCAGAAAAAACACCTCTAAACTCAATATTCAACGCATGTTTGCCTAACATGTTAATGACGATTGCTTCTGTTCAGGTATGTTTGAAATCAGTTTTTAAAAGAGACCTGCACAAATTTCTTGTAGGTGCTTGATGGAGACGGTTTACCCAACCAGATATGTATCCAATGTTTACAAATGATTAATCGTGCATACACATTTAAGCAGCAGTGCGAAAAATCGGATGCCACACTACGCGAATATGTAAACAAATTTAATTTTCAGAATATCAGCCTGAGTAGCGATCACAATCTTATGTGCAATGTGAAAAATGACCAGTTTTTCGGAAATAGTGAAGTCTTACAGCAAACTTCGCTTTTTACTGAAATATTTGGAGATGACACAACACATTCTTTGGTGGACAATTTTGCATCTACAGGTTCGAATACAGGTAGTTTACGTGCATCTTGTAACCCTCGGTTAAATGTGTTCTGTTACAGTTGTGTCAGATTTTGCAGATACAATGCAAAGCTTGCAGACTATTGCAGAGCAATGTCTACCTGAAGCTTGGGAGAACGATAACTTAATTGCAACACATAGCAGCTCTGAAGAAACAACGTGTCATAGTTTAAACTTGGAACCGTACTTGAAATGTCAGTTCTGTGAACTTTCCTATAGCGGTATTACCTAAGTTTGTCCTTATCAGATCTATGTTTAGGTATATAACTTTTTAGACGAGTGGAGTTTGGCTGAGCACATCAAGCTACACACTGGACAGTCTAAGCACCTTTGCACTTTGTGTAGCAAGGCATTTACAACTTCATCTGCACTTACTAAACACATTTCCACTCATAATCTCTTGACAAATTCTGTTGATCAGAGCAAAATTCTAGCATGTGATGTAGGTATATTAATTTAACAATCCACTCTGACCACCATGTTTAGATCTGTGGAAAAGGGTGCAGTAGCACAGCTTTGTTAAAGGCACACATGAAGGAGTCACATGCCAACATTAAAAATGCGGAGAAGAGTTATGTATGTCAAATCTGTGATAAGCGCTATTCGCAGAATAAGTTTTTGGTATTGCATTTACGGTCTCATACTGGTGAACGACCGCTTCATTGTGGAACCTGTGGCAAGAGCTTTTCATTGCCGAGCTCGCTGCATAAACACAGGCTGGTTCATAATCATGAGAGGAAATTTAGCTGCACCTTGTGTGGGAAATCGTTTAAGCAAATGTCTAATTTGACTGTTCACATGCGTAGTCACACAGGTTTGTAGTTGGAGGAGGCTCAGCAAGATGTTCAAAAGAACTTCCCTAAACGACAGATTTACACGGTTTTGGTTTTAGGAGCCAAGTCTTTTGTGTGTACTATTTGTGGTAAAGGGTGTGCCACAAATGTGAACCTGAGCATACATATGCGCTTACATACAGGTGAAAAACCGTATATGTGCAGCCAATGTGATGCTGCTTTCCCTAGTAAGTACCAGTCACAGTTCAAAATGATACTGAAATTTTGTTTTGTATAGCTAGCACTCAGTTAAAAAAACACTTCATGCGTCACACTGGCGAAAAGCCATACAAATGCTGGCAATGTGGAAAAGCATTTCGTCAAAAAGACACGCGTGATACCCACGTGCGGTATCATACCGGTGAAAGGCCTTTTGCATGTCACTTATGTTCTAAGAGATACATAGCTGCAAGCCACCTGAGGGTAAGTTACCAAAAAAAGAACCATAGGTACTAATATTTATTATTTTCGTTTCAGATTCACATGAAAGGACACACTGGTGATCGTAAATACCAATGCAACCTGTGCCCAAAGTCATTCATACAATCTCGTACTTTAAAAACTCATTTAGAAACACATAACAATGAAAAAGTCTATTTGTGTAGTTACTGTGGTCTAACTTTTACCACCAAAACTTTGCTAAACAAACATAAGAAAATCTGTGGCATTTCTCTGTAGTCCATAACTTAATAAATTCCTTATTGTTGAATGTTTATTGCTTGTTTTCTTAATTTAGGGGGTGGCAGTTTTGTTGATGTATCTGTCTTTAGTCGAATGGGAGCGGGTAGAGCTGGTATGATTGGTGCAGTGTCAGGTAAAGATACATGTTGCAATTCCAGTAAGTGAAGTGCACAGTCCATTTCGAGTAGAGTTTCTAAGTCCTTCCTGTACTCCTCACTTCGATGTGGTTTGTCTGAAAAAAGTGTCAAAAAATTAGAAATCTCAATAATAATCAAGAAAAGATTAAGTTGAAAGGCCTGTAGTCTGATGGTGACCCTTGAAGTAAAACAAAAAAATAAAAACCACATTTTGAGAAAACGTGTTCTAATTTATTGATGAAAAACTGCTGAGTGCTGCTGGAATTAAAGTGTAATCATAGACATATGATATGAGTATCTTAATATACCTAGGTATGTATATATTAAAAATAAGTATATTAAATATTTATATATATATATTGAACATTGTACAATCAAATTAAACACCATCAACATCAAAATATTCCTAGCAATGACAATAGGTTTACGTTGGTTTATGAAAGTTTTTTGTGGTGTTTTGTTAAAGGATAGATATACCATGCGATAAAAAATGAGGCATAAGAGGCGACTCGACAGCAGACTGTGACTCATTTTTGATCGCGCGTTAAAAAGGTTTTCTGAATTATTTGGACAATTCAAATTACACTTTAATTTTGAACATTTCTTCTCCTCCAATGTGTCAAATTGTATAGGTATTTTCATACTTGATATGTTTTTGAAATTTTTTGACTGATTTTTCTTTCCCCAAAACCAGAAATTTATTTCCTAGTGACACATAAATTGTCTGCTGGTGGCAAAGAGTATACCTAGTATGATCTTTCTAGCGGGTTCTTCAACATTCGTTCAAACACGTATTTCACATGGTTAGGCAACATATTCAACAAATGAGCATTTCTTCCAAGCCCACCCATGTATTGATAACAGATCCCGTTTCTTCGAATTTAGCGACCAAATCTTGAACATAGGCATGGCATACATTTCTCTCGGGATGTCTCTCATTAAACGTTCTAGCTGTTCTAAAAGATGATCGATTTCCGGAGCCATAAATTAATATTATTTCCACACGTTCAGCTGTACTGTTAGTCAATAAGAAAAGAAAGCAACCAATATTGCTTAATAAAGCAGCTCAGGTTGAAGTTCTTGGCCAATTTGCCATAAATCCCACAATATCAACATTTAGTTTTTTTTTGTTAGTTATTATAATGTTAAATTATCTTAATGAATATGAACTTTATTGGTACCACTGGAAAGCATTTTTCAGTAGCTTTCCAACGATGTGTCACAAGTATGGGGTTGCCATTTAGTATTTTTGAAGAGGGGGGTTAAGGGGGTGGGGGGGTTGTCACTCATAACATCATTCTTGTTCCCCTTCGATACCCCCGAAACGGTTTTCCCCGATTTTCCATATCTTCTTTAATTTGGAAAATATGGCCGACTGCAAGTTTTAAAATTGACACCCTGCATATAGGGTCGCTGAGAAGTCTGGAAACGGTCGATTATCGGCGAAAATATACAAAATATCGAAATATGTTTTATGCAAAAGTTTTGGGGTTCTTTAATGTCTACTAGACAGTAATAATTTTAAATATACAGGGTTGCTCATAAGGGCGCGCCACACCCAAATTGAATTTTTTTATGGAACACTGTATATTTTTCAATATTTCAATTTTTTCTCAATTTTAGGCCTAATGTACCTAAATTCAATCGTTCCCGGGGAGTTATCGATTAAAAATAGATGCTGTTATTTATTTATTTATTTAATAATTGCACAAAAAACAATAATTAATGATTCCAAACCATCATAACAAACCTCAAACGATTCTTTTCAGAACCACAGAACGTTTCCAAAAGAAATTCGTCATGTCATTAATTATTGTTCTTTATTCAATACATTTTAAAGCAGTACCTTTTATTTTCCAGACTCGATAACTCGGAAACGATTGCATTTGGGTACGTTATGCCCCTTACAAATTATGCTCAAAATTGAGAGGAAAATTGAAATATCGAATAATATACCTACAGGATTTTCCATTTAAAAATTGCAATATTAGTGTGCGACGCCCAAGGCCACGCCTTTATGACCAACCCTGTGTAATTAAAAAATTACTACTCCCTAGTTAGTAGACATTAAAGAACCTTAAATCTTTTGTATAAAACTTTTTTTGATACTTGGTATATTTAGTTTCCAGACTTATCAGCGACCCTTATATGTGCTCCCAAGTAAAGGACTTGTTCTACAATTTGAGTGACGTCTTGTTTTCACAGCAACCGAGAACAAGATAGAAGAATGAATTATAGCGACTTTTCCTAGTTTTTGGCATTACACATAGCAAACTATGTACAAGCTGATTCAAATTCGATGGCCACCATGAGGATCTCGGAAACTGTAAGGGGTATAGGAAGGTATAGTTTCAATTTGGCAAAGTTGCGTATTTTGATGCTTAATAAAATACCTACCGGTTTAAAACTGAAAAAATTCCGACTATATACTTACAGAGATATCCTGAAAAAAGCGACATTTTGCAATATTTTTTTTATTTTTTACCGAAGTTATTTTACAAGATATTTCAAAATAAATATCACATTAAAACTTTTTTTTAAAATTTTAAGTGTGACGTTTAGTCTCCGGTTAACTACAATCAACTTTGTTTTTTCATATGGATTCTTATGCTTATTATTTGTTTTGCGTTTTTCGATTGCAAGTGGCATTTAGAAAAATGCTTCCGGGTGTGCTGTGTATTCTTTTGACACTCCGACACCTTGTGCCCTATCTCCTGGTATCTATAGCACTTCAGCGGCTTTCTCTTTTTCACTGGTTTCTTCGATCCTACAAAATCTGCTCCAGTCGATTTCGAGAACTTCGACTCAACACTTTTTCATTTGTGTTTCCTTGTCAAGCAGACGGTAATTGACATTTTCCAAATTCAGATTTTCCCCGGGCATCGTGTCAAAAGCCGCGACGACTGTCGATTATGCCGACTCCAGGATGATCAGGATATGACAAACTAAATCAAAATCAAAAATATGACAAAATACTCCTGGAAGTTGCCGGACTAGAATCTCAGAGACATCTGCCTATGAAAATACATTCGGCTCTTTAGTTCGAAGACACGGGCCTAAATATCGCAAATCGCTTTTGGTGTAGCCTTCTCCTGCACGTATTCTAGATTCAATTCGAAAACGGGAAACAAGAACAGTTCGTTTTTCTCCTCATCCATACTCCCAACACTTTTACGCATGCCACTAGTGATGTGAAATTACACGTTTTTTAAGTGTGTAATATTACGTGTAAAATTACCATTTGTTTATGTTTTTTATGGTATTTTATGGAATTTATATAACTTACCTTTTTTTTTTAAAAAAACGTAATTTTATAGTAAAATGCTTCGAAAACGTTATAGCCTAGCTACTACTATGAGTATTTCCCTGGCTGAAAACATGGATTTTATTGCAAGTGAGGTAGCTATTATTATGCCAATTTATGCGCCAAATATTTACATAAAATGTACGCAGTGCCGTTTTTATGTGTAGTATTTTCTTCACTTATTTCCAAAAATATTATATTTTTAATTTTTTTAAATAATAGAGCATGAAAAGTCGAATCGTTTGATACCTGTAAATAAATTAAAATCTTTTTAGCCGTTTAGTTGATAAAAATGGTTAGTTTTTTTAAGACGTGCATGTTCCTAAGAGTTGAAACTTGCGCTGATGGAGGCAAATTTCCACACTATCACTGTGCAAAGAGGGTTCCTTCTATAAAAAAAATGCAGCCTTTTTCATAATTACTATGGCTAATACAATCGTCTATCGTACCTACAGGCAGTGTTTTTGAGTTTTGGAAAGAGTACCTATACATTCAGGAATAGGGATTTTGACTCTAAAGGTGTAAAGTGGATAGCAAATTTCGAGAGCAGAGCATCACTACCTCAAATATTAAATTTATCTTCTTCGTAAATATTGTCATTTTATCTAACTCGCTGATTTTAAACACGCGTTGACCGTGAGTACATTATCAACTGTATTGAATAAAAGAAACCAGTTACCTACAGATGATAACGTGTAAATTTGAATTAATTTATATACCAGTCGAGCCGGGACCGCGTTTCGGGGTTTCTTGCACTGATATCGGCCTTAACTAATTTTCGCCATAATAATTAACTGTATTGTGTTATAATTGTGCTTGGATAGTATGCAATGCTCACATGCACATTGTATAAGAAAAAGGTATGTAAACGGAAACTGTATCTAGACGCCTTAAGCCCGAAAATGAGCGATTTTGTTGCATTATGTTCATTCTTGAACTAAAAACAAATTCATACAATGAGCATTTCGTGAATCGAAACAAAGCTAAAAGGAAACAAACTAACAATAAACATTAAAAGTGGTTGGGATGGTCAAAACAAGACAGGAAGGTACGCTATATAGTATCTTTAGTAGGTAATGCTCCATTCCCACTCGCATGCATTCACCCAAGAGGCCACAGCACAATCCACGAAAGTGCAGGATTCACACTCATCCCCGATGGTACCCTACCCAAAACGCCTCATTCAACCCAACCTAGAAGGTTTTTTTTACGTTGTTGGATCCTAATAGGTCGAATTCCGAAGAATTCTTGGAAGGGGTAAGGAAATTCAAAAATTCAAATCTACCGCACAAATTCAAATGTACCGCTACAAAACGCCCGACATCCGGAACTTCAAATATTCAAACCTCCCGAACAAATTCAAATTTACCAATGGCGCAGCCAATCACAGCGCAGCACGTGTGACTTCATAAAAAAGAGGAGATGGTAGATTCCCTTCTACTGACATGAATTTTATTTATTTTTGCATCACTAGTCAATACCAGTTTAACTCTTTTCGAAAGAGAACTGGTGTCATCAATCTCCCAAGCAACTCACGTCACGTTTGATGAGCTTATATAGGTACTTACAACAACATATGAATTGATTATGCAAGAAAATAAAAATATGTTACCAATAAAATCACTCATTTCTATCTATCCTCAGAAACCAAAAAGTGGTGAGCTTATTCACTTACCTAAAAGTAAACTGAATCCATCAATCCATAGATTGGCAACTTTAACATCTTTAGCCAAAAGGTTTATGACTGTTCCGTCTTCAAGAATTATTGAGAATGCTCTTTCCGGATTTTTAATACTAAACAACGTGCAATGATTTAGTTGAAAGACCAGCCCTTAATATTGTTTACCTGTTATCTTTTACATGTGGACATGCTTTGCCAATTACAAAATGTTTAATTTCTTCTACATTAAACCTTTCTGGTTCTTCCGCTTTAAAATTTTTCAAATTTTCGTTCCAAGCTCCCCATATTATCATTCGCCTGTTTTCGGATAGACGAATGAAACAGTATTGTTGCTTTCCTTTCTAAATTGTATAATTTCAATTTATTAGTGGTGGCTACGAGGACTTACCTTTTCAGGGAGTTTGGGAAATAATTCTCCACTTTGCAGTGTTCTCATTCTGCTCTCAAAAATTAGTTGCTCGTTATGCGAAGAAAATTTTTGTTTCAGTATTTGCACATTTGGATTACTTTGATAAATTCTTTCCCATTCGTTTTGTTTTTCATGCTACAAAATTGTTTTCTTGTACGAGACTTATTTTTACATTAATCCTACCTGCCATTGCTTGTCAACTTCTTCATATGTAACTTTCATCATTTCCGCCGTTAAAGATGCATAATCCATGGGTTTTTCGGCAAGTGCCATTTTAACTTGCTTCTCTAATACCAGTAGTACCTACAGAAACAAAGGTATTGTAAGGAACTTGATGGGTATGTGCTCTCGCCAACCTTTGAATAGTCATCATATGACCAAGCCCTCATTTCTTTCCTAGTTTTGGAAAGCAACCACATACTGCGCGAAAACAGCTCCAAGAAGAACGGAAACTTCAAACTAGTGTTGAATACTAAAGGGTGGTAGGAATCCCCGGAACGGGTGGGTTCCATTCCAATGTGTAAAATATTAGCTAACAACCGAGTAATTCTGAAAAACACATATAGAATGTGGGTAGTGCAGGTATAGATATTTTTACTTATCGCTTGACACATAAATTCCCGGCTCGTATGTATTTTCTTCTATTCGTGACTGGCAGAAATTTTTGTAGTGGTATTTCTTATAATGCACTACAATTAAAAAAAATACAATGTTAAAAATGTAGCAAAAAACACTATGTACCTACTGAAATAAGTGGAAATTGCTGTTGTGCCTTATTTCTGGACTCTGGTGTAATAAGAACAGACTCGAAGCATGCCAAAGAAAAGAGAAAAAGAAAGAGTTCATTGAAGAAGAAGGGTTAGAAGCAATCCATTTTTCATTTGTTTGATCTCCCGATTGTAAGACTGTAACTGAAACCCTAAACTTAAAAACTCCTACCAAAAAACTGACTCGCGTAGGTCGTGGTCCAGCTTCAGTTATAACAAAAAACTTTCTCAAATGTTCCGTTGAGTTTAAATTCGAATTCTGCTGAATTGACTTCTAAACTTGTTTGTGTGCATCTTTTAAGTAACAAATTTTGCAATTTTTGTTGTCAAGGTTGCAGCTCGAAATTATTAAAATATAATTAATCATTTCTTGTACAGTTTAATCCCCAAAATTAAGGATTTCAAGTTCTAATAAGCACAAGACAAATAAATAAACATTTTTTGATTCAAACACCTCATTCCGTTCTTTTTACCAAGGTTCTGAACTAAAACATTAATAAATCTTTCCACATACATTCTGGAATTCATTTGTAGAGTTTTTACGGTATAAAATCTTCCATGCCAATCATGACTGAGTAGTTATGACTGGTTGTGACCTATTTGATGGAACTTGGATCATACCAATTCTCTTTCAAAAACAGTTTATATGCGAATTTAAAAGTAGTAACATTAACCTATTGAGTGTGGCTTCCACCGATCTTTGGCAAAACGGATTCTATACGTAAAGGCTCTAGTGGTACCTCTCTAATTTTTTAATTTGAAAGAACCGGCCATTATGCTACTTACCTAGCGCTTCGTAGGTCAATAAGCTTATATGATGTTCGGACATTGACGTTGTGAGACGATCAACATGATCACTTATTCCACTATCTCCACTTGCAATTGATATTCTACAAAATAGACGCTTTAATTACATTGGATGTAGAAGAGTCACATTCGTGGCAAAATTTTAAGCAAGAATATCCCAACATTTTGAGCTAATTTACGCATTTACGGGACTACTGTGTCCGTACTACCAGGATAGTTCAATAAAGATACGTTCTGATGTAGTAAAGCAAATTAAATAAAAAGATCAATGGTCGTTTTAAATGTTAAGGAGTTCTACCTTTGATGGGCTAGACTTTCATGGTTCTCGTTGTAGTATCTATATGTCATCTTTAGACCTCTAACTTAAAAAACCATCTTTCTGTCAAAAAATATATGGAATGAATTCATTTTTAGCGTTATTATACCGGGTGATTATTACAAAAACGAACATAGGTACTTACTTAACTTGGGAAAAATGTTTTTTGCAGATCGTTGCTCTCCATGTTAACCTAAAGGGTTTATCGAAAGAAGGTTTTTTTCATCATATATATAAAGTAGTCAGAGTTGGGATGTTGACATGTTGAAATTTTTTAGCAAAATTGGGAACCTTCAAGAAGGATTCCTTTCATTATTGAAACTCAAAACCCACTTTTCAATTTGTAAATTAAATGTCAGGATCTCAGAAATAGATCCTTCATTATAATGCCTAATACGATATCCTCAATTTCTAATGTTGTGGAAAGTCTCTTTGGGATAATCTAGATCCTTTTTACGAGTCTATTTGAATATTGGCATTTTAAAAAATTGTAAAGTGAGCTTTAAATATTTTCTTATTAAATGATTTTTCTGCGTTATTTAATTTAGTTTCAAGCTTTTTTACGTGAAAATTAGGCCAATTTTCTAATACCTTTCTTATACTGTTTTGTAGAGGTTGGTTATAAGTCTTGCGGAAATTTTACTGCTGTAAGCGTTGTTTTATACGAATTTTGAACAAAATTAACTTAGGATGTAAAAGTTTCGATCTGTAGGGGACAATTCCTATTTTAAACGAAGAAAATTCCTTTCTATTCTTTAGAAAATATTTTCGTAGATATTTTCTTCCGTTTAGATGTGGCGACCTTGTTACAAGCAAAGCACTTCCAATTTACTGTTGGACATTTTGAAAAGATTCGAATTCTCCCGTGGACCCCTAACCTAATGCAATACATAACAATGCCAAAATGTTGAACACTCGACGATATTCCCTTTGCTAAGATTTCGAGCGATCTACAAACGGTGTCCGAACGACCGCCAGTTACTGGCACTAAAATGCGCTAAAAATGACACTAATTTTTTTCCATGTTCATTATAACTATGGTATCACAAAATCACGCTACTGATTAAATCCTGTACATTTATTTATTTATATACCTATTATCACAGATAAAATGCCCATTATATACGTTTTGGAATAAGTTAGAGAAACGCGCTTTCGAATCAATTTCTTTCCATGGCTACAAGGTTAAAATACACAATCCAATAAGGACTGTGATCAAAACGTGCTTCTAATAAACTAATAATGAATTTCCTATATTTCCAAATCAAAATGCTTTAAATTACTGACCTTACATCATCAATGTCTTCCAAAATAGTACCTGTAGAATTAGACCTATTTCTGCAAATTTCCTCCAAGTCAACATATGTACTGGATCTTGCCAACTTATCATCATACAATTCGAATTCTCTCAACATGGGATTATCGACTGTGTAAAATGGAGTATTTAAAGAAGTTGAGTATACGCTATAAATAAAAAAATAATATGTTGTACCTACATACGCAGATTCCTGTACAGCTATAATACCTTAATATGTACGTTTGGTAGGCGTACAATTCACGAGCCATTCCAGGATCGATTTTTGATTTTTTAATGATATATGTAAAAATGTACTCTTTATTTTTGCTTCTGTTTAAATCTTTAATCAAGTGCTGCCGCTTATCACCTCTAAGATTTTTTACCATTGCATTTATCAGCATCATTGTATTCAATTGTAGTTGCGAAAGCTCTTGTCTCGAAATGAATGAAATTATATCATCGATTGACAATCCTAGAATAATCTAAAATTGGGTTCGTGTTAATGTTGCCAATTCGGTAGTTAATAGGCATACCTACCGTTTGTTTATTCAATGCGTGTCCTCTTAAATACAAAATCTGACACAATACTGCAAGCGCGTACTGTATTTGATTTGTTGTGATTAGAGTGCTTTTCACCCACTTTATTATGTTCTCCACCATAATCGATGGAAGTTCCTTTATGTATTGCTTTTTTAGTAAGTGTAGCAGGATTAAAAGGGATACAGATAATTCCTTGCCACATAGGTTTTCGTTAGTTACCCATTCTAATATATCGGCATCACGTTTCTTTTCAACTGAAATTTTAAGGCCTTAAATATAATACAAAATAATTTATCTGTGTGACAAATCAGTAAAGAAACACAGACTGAATAAAAATTACGAACAGGAGTAGAGACATACCCGAACGGTGATACCAGGGCCAGTTAGCGAATTTGAAGTGTAATCAAAAAAGGAAAGCGTAGTGATTGTACCTCGTTTACCACACTTGATCCGTTTTGAGAGTGTATACATATACGAGGTTTGGCTATTAACTGACACTATAATATAGGGTTTTATTGTAAAAATTATGAAAGATTAAGGTACACCCCTTTCGTATCCCTACACAGATTCGAGCTGTATAGTAACTCCGTCGATATTTCTTTATCGGCCTCCATTTAAATCATGATCCCTTCAACACCGATTTCATTTTCGGGAATAGGAAAAAGTCTGACGGTGGCAAGGGGGTACGGAGGATATCTCAGCAGAGGAACTTTATTTTTAAACAAACACTTCTTCACAGAAAGAGCTGTGTGAGAAGGTGCGTTTTCCAGAATTCTGACTTCATCTTTGAAACTCTCGCGTAGAGTTTTCAATAGTTCCAAATACCACTCATTTACAATTTGGCCCTTTGAAACCCTATCGATGTGGATGACACCTCGAATGTCGTAGAAAAGACTTGCTCATATTGGCCTTTCCCTACTAAGCGAAGGAGGAGTCTTCCATTGCATGGGATGACGCTTGGTGTCGGGGTCATATTAAAAAAATCCATGTTTTGTCGCAAATTATCGCGTTGCTTATCACGTAAATCTTCAATTAAAACGTAAATTTGCAGAAGTGTGGTCGTTTTTTCCATTGTAAGATTAATTTTGTACTGCAAACAAAAATACGCGCAGGGCGATGACACGATGATGTTTAACATTTCACTCATAACAAATCGCGTAATCTAGCAACCTAAAAACATGGTAGGAATTTAAGTACATGTCCAAAGGACCCAGGTTCACTACCCTACCCCTTTCGCGGAATGGTTCTATTGTGCGTAGTTACCCAGTAAAAAATCGATCCTTGGTTATGAACTGTCTGTGGGTGTGAAACCCTTGAAAATAGATTTTTCTGTGAAATTACATGACTGATGATTTTTTACAACATAAGACTACAGCACTTTCAAAAAGTGCACGGTACACATATACGTAGGTGCGACTGGGGGATTAGGGTAATCCGATGACACACAAAACTAATTAAAATTGTTCAGGAAAGTCTATAAGGGATTTGGTAGATTTTGTCATACTCACTAACCCATTAGCTTAATGAATCCAGGATCCGTGCTCAACGAATATAAATCCTGAACGCTTTGTGATCTGTTATGATTAATATTGTCAAATATTCTGTCAATTAACTTATCTAAGGATTCGACTAGTTTCAGCGTACACCCATTTTGAATTGTTTGAAAGTTATCCTCTGTAACGTAATTGCCTTCGTTACTCCGCTGAGCTGTGTAGCTAAATTTAAAACCATAATTTTCTCCGGGACCCTTTAAATAATAAGCATAGTAAAAACTAACTGCAATATCATTTATGCTTACCAGGTTGTTTTCAGCACAGACGCAATCAATATTTTCTTTTAAGGATTTTTGTTTGTTAATTTTAAACAGGAGTTGTGTACCGTTAATTTCTATGCCAATTTTCGCGTCCATCTTTAAACTAAACGCGTTAAAAAATATCTCTTCACGTTGTGGAATGTCCCAGGAAACCATATAATAACACTACACATAATCTTATCTTACAGATAAGTAGGTACGTGTATAGCGGTATAGTTAGTAAATAATACAAAAAAGCGGATTCATATGTTTATTTAAACGCATTCGCTTTATTAGCAAAATACAAAAAAATGACCCCCACGTTATTTTCGCACAGGGTGGAAGGGGTGGTTTAAGTGTCCCAGGTCTGGAGGATTTTTTTCAAATTCTACCAATTCCGCCATACCACCCGCTGCTATTGCCCATAAATCCGGATGGTCTTCTTTAAATGTGGCATACCATTTCGCCACTAGTGGATATCCGCTGATGTCGAAATTGATTGCCTCGAGACACAACGTCGCGGTGATTAATTGAAAGTCAGCAATTGTAACGTGATCTAAAAACAATGACATTTGAGTCATGCAAGTTGCAGAAGTCGCGACTTCACCTGCAGCAGCGTACTTCGTTCCAAGCTGTTGTAAGTAGATATTAAAAGCGTCCAATGCCATTTCTAGCATTTTTTGGGTTAAAGGGGTACGCTGATAGTCAAAGAACATGGGCGCCAACTGGAAATTTTATATTAGGGTAAATTTATATAGGTTTGAATAACTATACTGCGTGTCGCATTATTCTGCTGTAATAAAAAGCCAAGTTGAAGCATAATCGGTGATTGACGATCGCACGAGCTTTGGGTTCTTTGGGGTATAACTCGTCCGATTTTCCATACTGGTCCACCAAGTACTGCAGGATGGCATTGCTAAACAGAAACTCGGTGTTGAGCTTGAGCATACATAAAACGCTTTGTGCCTGAGTAGGCAGGTGGATTCTAGTAATTCAGTGTGCCTGTCAGGGACGTACCTTTTCTCCAGTTTGTTGTAAATAAACAAATAAATATTATCTTACACACCACCAAATAAAAGGCGTTTTAGAATGTTGTAATAAAGGATTAACCTATCGAAGTCATTGAGATGCTTTTTGTGGGTATTGAAGGGGCATATTAAAAAAATAAGGGTAATAATGCCGCAAACCCGAAAGTTCTACTTACGATATTCCATTGCTAAGATTTCGATCGATTTATATAAAGCTTAGAAGGTGCCCGAACGACCGACAGTTAGTGAAACTGTAAGCTCCTTTTTAAGATAAATAATGCACTAAAAAGGTACTCGTATACTTGTTTCATAGATATGAAGTGATCCCTTTTCGCGCCCCCTATGGTAATCGGCTATTGCAATAGGATGCTATTGCACATATGCGGTGTTTTACTTACGGTGCAAAATATATCTCTGTCTTTGTCAGGTATACTGTCACTGAGGCTCTTTACTTCAAGTAAATGGGAAGCTAGAACTATGGAATATGCAGGGTGTTGCATATAAGTATGTAAAAAAAATTGGGTGGTAGAGGGGATCAAAATAAGCACTTCTTCCAAATAAACCGAGAGTTCAACGTGTTTCGTTTGAGAGCCACCCTCAAAAAGTGGTGAAATTTGCATTTGTTTTTTACTTTTTTTCTCAGCAACCATAAAAGTGGCAAATACTGGTGGCACACCTTTGAATAGGGTTGCGAGTATATCCCTTCCGATTTTACAAAAACATTTTCAAAATTCCTACCACAAAAGAGCGCACCCCTAAACGGGGGTGCAAAAAAATCTGATTTCTACAAAATTTTGGTATTTGAACATAAAAATTACGAATTTGAAAGTGGAGGGTATTGCACAGGTACCGGACGAGCTTTGGGAAATGTTATAGTCAAAATTTTCATATAAAAAATTGTGGTAAAGTTTTAGTTTATCCTAAAACTCTTGACAACCATCTGAGGTATATTAGAGATGTACATGTACTTAAAAATCTTTTATTTTCTAATCCTCTGATATTTATATAGAAACGGGCTTGAAGAACATCTTTCAAAAACTACTTTCAATATTCCTCGGGTATCAGAAATTACAGCAACGTTTTTGAAAATATTCTTATTGTAAGTTCACCATGCCAACAAACTCAAAGTATGTTTTTTTTTTCGACTGTAAATTGTCATTTTTATTTATTTGTCGTTTGGTAATACGCCATCTATCGTGACGCATATTAGTAAATACTGTGTGTTTGACTTTTGAAGATGCAATAGGTTTTTTGCAGTGGAGTGCTCAGGAACATTCTTTGAAAAATCTTTGACACTTTATGCTTTAAAATATCAAATTTAGTAGTTGCCTACAACAAACTTTGCGCGAAAAGAGTAATTGAAAGGTGATTAATATGACAATGTTTTTATTTTTTGTCACATACCGGAAATCAGCACTTTAACCTACAAACTATATATTTTTTTATTGTAGCTTAGGAGACAGAAATCATAACTACCAAACATTTAAGGGACCGGCGGCGTAACCCGTTGAAAGGGTGTTGGATCATAATTTCTTTCAGTACCATTATCATTAACCCCATAAAAGTCAATTTATTAAGAAGAAAATCATGGGATTTCCATATAGACCTACGACCTGACGAAAATCCAGGAGTATTGGTAGATCGACAATATTTTCACCCAAATAATTGCAAATCTTGCCCGGAATGACACTATTGAACCACTCAATAACCGCAAAAATCCGGATGAGGAATATCCACAGATTTGCAGGGCCATTGTTAAAGTGACTATTGTTAAAATAAACACTAGAATACATAATTATACAGTTTGGGACTATTGCTACATTATGGACATCAGTTCCATCCGCGTCAATAGAAAATTGTAAGCGTTTTGGGAAATGGATATTCAAAAATTACGTATAGTACCTACATTTACAAATTATGTTAGAGTAAGAGCAGAATACACATTCTATGAGGGCGTGTGATACAAAACACTGCAGTATTATCAGTTGGCAAAATGCTTGCCCAAAGCTTACTTTGCACTTCATTAGGAAGCGGATGCAAGGTGTACATGGTATATTGAATTCGATATAAACATCAAGAAACAATTTTCTAACCGCGATAACCTTTGACTGGAAAAAAGAAAAAAAAACTGAAATTAAAACTAGACCAACAGTTTTTATTACTTCAACGGACATAAAGGTTTAAGTTAAGTGTTTCCAGTTGAACAACTGTCCATAAAGTAGGCAAATGTGGGAAATGTGTTCGTAAAAAGAATAATGCAGTTATATGTACGATAGTCTTAATGATATTGATTTCATCATGATGTGGTAGGAGTATCAAATATCGTTAGTGATTTGCACACACCGGTGCACCGGTATCTGCTATCGACTACCCAAGGATACGTACCTTTCGCCCAAGAAAAATCCATCATCATCCAATACGGGAATTTCCTTCTGTGGATTTTTCTAAAAATGACCACCGAGAAGTTTAGCATTTCTATTAGTCGCGAATGAGCTGTGTGTCACATACCTTTCCGTACTCATCAGTTAGGTGTTCTCCTTTACAGAAGTCCACATTGATAAGTTCGTAATTGATATTCAAATACTTCAAAGCCATTCTCACGGCCAAAGATGGGGGACCATCAGATACTGCATACAACTTGAGTGGCATTTCGAATAACAACTGAACAAGGCAAATTGCGTTAAAGAACTGAGAAGTAAAAGCAGAACAGAGTGAAAGTCAATGAACGTTGAGGGCGAGGCTGGGAATTATTTTGAGGTCTAGCTAGCAATCGCATCGACTACGATGTACGATAAGTTGCATATAATACACCAAAGTTCTAAAAATTGAATTTGTAACAAATCTTACAGTGCAAAACAATAAAAATAATCTTTTATTAGATGTACACATATAACAACAATAAATAATATACAAAAAGAATAAGAAAATGTATTTACAAAACTAATCCTCTTTTGGCAGTCTTATTTATAATAGGAGCTACCGTCATAATAGGAATGGGCGGGACCTAAAAACAAATAATAATTAGAGACAAATTAGGCGAATGATCTGTAAAGTAGAACAAATGCGATTTATTATTACCTCCGCTACTCCAAAATGTCAGGGTTCGTTAGTCAGTCTCCAAGTTGTCCTACGGTTTTAACCAAACTGTAACGGATTTATGTTTATTTGGCTTTGGTCTAGAAATCGATTTGGTACTATAAACCCGTTTTGTCAGTATTGTCGGATTTGAGGGTGCTTTGCGGGGTGGTGGTGGTAGAAGCTTTTCTGAGAACAGGGTGGAGTATTGTCCCTCCATGTCAAAGGAATTGTGCAAGTCTAAGGGATACGATGGAAAATGTTCTAAGCCCTTAATTGCAGCTGGGGCGTTTTGCAGATTAAAGCTGGGAAAACCACCCGGTAATGATAATGGGTTGTAGGTTTCCAACGCTGCGCTATTTTGCTGGATGTCTTTTAGGTAGTTTTGGTCATGCGGTGCAAATGCAGGTGAAATGAATCCTTGCCCCTGAAATTGTTGCAAGCTACTGGAATCGTGCACAAATTGGGATAGTTGAGTATCGGGTGACGGGTAAGCTATCCCCTGATACACTTGGCTAGGTTCCTCGGGAGGTGAAGGTATTTCCTGGTTGTGAACGTGGTGATGTATAGGAGGAGTGTCTTTTGCATCAGGTAAATAGGCGATTTCTTGAGGTTCTACTACTGGTTTGTGCGTTTCCAATAAGTTATGTGCACCAGTATTACCGTTATGGTCGTCTCCTTTCACTTTCGGAATCTTCTTCACTATTAATATACCTTGATTTGTTGATTTCGGGTGTCGTTCTTTATAAGCTGTTCGTTAAAGTCAGGTTTTGTCAGACACATAAAATACGAACAAAGTAAAGGATCGTGCACAAAAATTGGGAGATCATGGCAACTCGTGCATATTTCCAATTATATCACAAAAACATTTGTAGGTAGGTACTTTCTTTTTTGAGGTTAAAACTATACCATCCCACAAGGAAAGTTAAAACATGTACCTATTCATTTGTAAATTACGATAATAACCTATCATTGAAATGTTGAAATTAAAATTTATGGATTATGTTATTAGAAACCCTGACATTAGTGGCGATATGCAAAATTTATTTTCATGTCGCGCCTCGTTAACGTGCTTAAATATAAAAATTAATTCAGAAACGCTATTGATCCAACAAATTGTCTTTCATAAAATTACACAAATATAAACATGGAAGTTTACGTGGACGTGTAGTCATCCATGTATGCTAAAACTTATCGCAATGTGTCATCAGTCTTAGCCATTTTTGCGGTTTCTCGTGCGACAATAAAGGTAGCTAAACTTTTGTGGTTTTTAGATATACATATAGGTATAATTAATAGACTTACGTCTATTACACAATATTTTAACATGAAGTATCTTGAATACGTTATTATTGATTTGTTGAGATTTGTCACGTGGAGTATCATTTTACATAACAGTCAGACAGTATCTCCAGAAATTTGAAGTAATTATACTGAACGAATGAATGACTTATTGCCTTAAATTAAGGAAGTAATCACCATATTCTCACAAAGAGATGTAAAAGAAAGGCGCATACGAAAGAAGGATGTAGCTTCGGCTGAATTCTAGGAATCGTTTTCGAGTGTTACGTAGGTACATCTCTTTTTTTCATAAATCTGTAATTGATGACAACAGTGCACATGACTAAGTAGGTAACCACTCTTATAGGGCCGGCATAATAATAAGATACTCTCGGAATAACTTCCGTAGCAACATGTATTTCATTGGTAACCAACATAACCGTCGACGTTTATTCTATTTTCTTTAAATTAATTTTTTAAGCTTTGACACTTCAAAGAACGGTTTCTCGGTAACTAACTGATCGATTTAGACAAAAGTCCCTTCCATATTATGCGAGTCACTTAAAAATTTGAAAGAGGTTATTCCTAGCCTAAATTTGGCTCCCTCGATATAAAAATCGACCGGTTATATGGATTTTTGTCGAAATTTTAAAATAAAATTGACTCGTTTAAAATTTGAAGTTTAAATATCTAGTCTTAAGATGTCGAATTGTAACTTATAAGTACACGTTTTGGAGTTAGGGGAACGTCTAAATTTCCAGTTTATGCAGAAGATTTGAAAAATGTTTAGTTGTAACATCCCAGGGCTTGGTAGCTCTGATCCAGGACTCTATACAGTGCGTTTGAGATAAGAGGGTCACCTCAATATCTCTTTTATTTGGCGAGATACGAAAATGTTAAATATAATTTTATATAGGTATGACATTACGATCTATCTGATCATCTCCCTGTGTAATGCAACAGACACCATGTATCCTGATAGCACACGGTATGCTAGACTTCATAAATTGTCTAAATATTGAATAACGAATTTCTCTGTTTTGTTGTGTATCAAGAATAAGCTTATGTTATGTTGTCGTACAGAAAATTGATTGCCCTTTTCAAATATCGTAAAAAAGCATAGGCGTTGCATTTGAAAAACAAACGTTGCACCAGCAGTGACACCGGAAGTTTGAATTTGCGGGTAGATAGATGGTAATGTTACATATAAAATTATATTTAACAAAATTTTGTCAATACTGGTATACGCATCTTCGTAATTGCTAGAGGATTGACACGTGATAAGGGGTCATTGACCACTGGCGGAAAACTGTATGACGTGCCTCTATTCGTTAAATTCAATCACACTATATGGTTTCTACTTCATGCAACAAACATACACTGAATAATAAATGATATTTAATTATGCAAATCAACCAAAGCAAATCTATTAGGTAACTAGAAGTCATTCAATTTAAGACAGGTTGTTCTAAAAGCATATTTTGGTTAAAAGCGGTGAAAAGCACAAACGATCAGCTTTGAGTTAATAAAACTTTACGCTTCTATTTAGCAAGAGGGACACGTCTAACTCAAGAACATTTTTCTAAATATTCATGTAAAAAATGAAGTGTTGGAAAAGATCAAAACAAACGTTTTCTATGAAACAACTAAGAATCCCAATTCCTTCGTTCTCCGTACTTTGAAGGATCAAGCTACCAAATGAAACATTTGATCTCTTTGTTAATTAGTAAAAATGTTTATTTCATTTTCACCATTTTAGTAGGCATCACACAGAAGCAAACCTGTATTTTGAAAAATGAAAATTACTTCTATTCGAATGCATTCTTTTCGCCGATGGGGATTGTAAAAAAAAGTGACTAAGCAGTAGGTCTTCGAATTGAAATTAAACTAATGGCAGTGGTTCTTTTAAGCTCTAATCCCACATAAACAGTTATCCTTTTTGATCATTTTGTGATTGACGTGATAAATGAATACTGAAACAGGATGAAGAACTTAGAAGGAATTTTGCCGCCTCCGCTCTTCGCTATACATTGCCTTTCTTTGCACATCCTCGTATCCGCTCCTCTCTTTCATATCGTCTACCATCTTCACTTGTCTTCTTCCCCTTTCCTTGTACCCCGGACGGCTCTTTCAGCAAACTATTTCCTCTTAGCACATGACCAAGCCACACTCTTTTCCTTCTCAATATTGTGTTATATAAAGATCTTTCGTTTCCTATTCTTTCTAGCACCTAGCTGTTCGTTCCTAATCTTGTCAGACCACTTTATTCCAAGCATTCCTTCCCACATTCACATTTCCATAGCTTTAATTTTTTTCTTATCTTTTTTCAAAATTGTTCACACTTCAGAGCATAACATTTCATATAAATCACTTCGGTATTCTTTTTCATAGATTGCATTATGCTGTCTACCCTTCTATTTAACACTCTCAACAATATTTTCGCTGAAGGCCCTACTAGGCCAATTGTTATAGACTCAGTCTCAGGAAATCTTCAGACCATTTTCCTGATTCGTATATATCATTGATTGTAGGATGATTCGCCCCCTAAAATTCGCCCCGGTAAATTCGCCCCCGGAATATTCCCCCACAAGAAAACTCGCCCCCAAGTAAATTCGTCCTCGGACTATTCGCCTCCGTAAGATTCGCCCCAGAAAGATTCGCCCCGGAAAATTCGCCCCCTGCAAGTTCGCCCCCGACAAATTCGCTCCTGGAAGGCAATCTCTTTAATCTTCGTATTTAACCTCCGATAGTGCCTTCTTCTTCCTCTCTTTTTGTACTTTCTTCTCTTTTCCATCATTTCCTGATTTACCGAAGGTTTCTTTGATCTTATTCCTTTTTTATATCCAACTTTTTCTTTAGCTGCTTTGATTATTCCCGCCTTGATTCTGCTTCATTTACACTCTACGTCTTCCTGACTTGTGACTAGATTTATCCTTGGCCATAAACTTTAATTTATAATTTATCCAAGTTCAATTTTTTCTTTTCCGTGCTCTTTTCACGATTTTAAGCCTAATTTGGATGTTTGCCATAAGTAGAATATGGTCACTCGGCGCCTGGTAACACGCACGCTCGCTTTATTCCGATTCTGTGTCTTTCTTCTACAAGTATGAAATATTTGCTTTCGGTAATGATCTCGAGGAGATTTCCAGGTGTTACTAAACCATGTGTTGATAACTATTATTTTTGTTTCATTACAAAAATATAACAGACTATCGCTTCTCTTCCATACATGCCAACTACATTTCCATTTCTTCCATTTCCCACCACGCACCCATTACTATTTTACAACAACCACCTCCTTCCTCCTCGATTATACTTTCTATCCTTGCGTATACTTCGTCCCCCGTGGTGTATGGTTGGTATATACACTTGAATCACTAACTTTGACCAAAGATTACTCTTTGCTTTCACACAGCGTTAAGCTTTAGAACCATCACTCCATCACATCTATAAATTACTTCGGTTACACACCTGGAAAGTTGTTTGCTGAAAATAAATTCTACTCAGATTTTATCATCACAATTTTCCTGCCGTTTCCATCTTCTTTCACTCCAATCAAATTGGAGCCGTTTTTAATCATTTCTCGCCGTAGATTTTCAAGCTTTTCCTCTTTTAGTAGACTTCTGACGTTCCAAATGCTCATCTTCAATTTACCTTTTTTTCTTTTTCTCATTGTTTTTCATGAAAGTATTCTTCGGGTACTGTCTACTCCGTAGATCCAAGTTGGGGACTCCGAAAGATCCATATTTCATTTTATCTTTCTCTACCACTTCTCATGGGATACCGTGAGGCCTTCTCCATCCCGACGCTGTTGATCCCGAAGAATTATTCCGCTTTTGGAGTGACTTCCTAGACATAGTGCCCCGAACCTCTACCCGCTCATCCGCCCTCCTAAGAGACCGTTAGCACTTGGTACAGGGTTGACTTATTATCCCAGAAGCCCACCGGTCGTCAGGGCCCCATCAGTGCAAATTTGTTCTCTGATTATATTACCTTAACCAAAATCTAAAAGAAACGCCCAATCTACCAACGCTTACTGAGGGCTTAACTCTGTACTGAAATCTCCAGTTAAATGTCATGGGTTGCAACCCTCCAAATGATGATCCTACTTGAACATGTAATGACTATTATTGCGTTCCTATTACAAAATGAGATCTTTGTACTTGTACTTTCAGTTGTTAAATAACTGAATCATGCTTTTGTTAGAAATAAAAGGTTTTACGTATGCAAATAGTGTAAATTGTTTATTTACCTAAACAAAACAATGGCAGTGCGTCCCCTTAATCTGTCTGTGCGGTTTCTCATGCGAGAATCAAGATGGGTAGCTATAAACTTTGTGGTTTATGAATAAGTATGCATGCCTCCTTTTTTCCGCGTACTAAATCTATTACCAAAAGCTTTGGCGCGCTGTCGGCAAAGAGAGCTGCGTTAATATTTGTCATTTATTTAGAAATGTTAACTATAATTAGAGTGATTCTACTAAATCTGCGACATTAAAGCAGCTTCCTGTGGTTCTAATAGCAAATTGCGTGGCTTCATAGCTTATTTAGAGAACTGCACCCAATACTGAGCGGAAGTTGCACAGTTGTGGTAGTCCAATGGTCAATAAGCGATAGTCCATATGTGGGCTTCAAATAGATAATGCTTACAATTAATTCCGTGAGTTTAACCACAGTATATAACTTTCATTAAAGGACTGAATTATTCACGGGTGTGATGAAAAGTGGCAAAAAAGAATTGAACCGTTTATTTCCACTTATCACATTTTTAGAAATTGTAACTATAAGGGTTGAATTCAAGCTGCAATTTAGAATATTTCTGTAAACTGCTAATGCATCAGACGTAACCGCTGATATGAAAGGGTAGGTAAAGCTCTCAACGCGTTATCCTCCGGACCATGACTTCTAATTCACTTCTTTTCTGTTTCGTTATAAGCGGTTTTTGTTAAGAGAGGTATTTAGGCGAACGAATTTCTATATTGCTTCCATTTAATTAACGTTCCATAGAATGAGATCTACGATCCATCCTGTTTTTAAGAACTTGAAACCCTTTCGCACTTTTCGCAAATTTTAGCGACAGATTAATAAGTTGCTTACCGTTTCAGTCCAAATAAATAAATAATAATGATCAATAAGTACCTACTAACCGGAAACTAAGGTTTTTTCGACACGTAAGCTTTTGTGTGATGAGTCATCCACTTAATTAATTTAAATTAGGGCAGTTCATCCCTGCTATTTGCGCGTCGTTTAAGTGAAAAATATACCAAGAACCTACTTGTAAATCAATATTAATTTAGTGACCTCACATTTTGTAACATTTCAATGTCTATTGTTACCAAAGCAAAGCGACACCGATGTGTCTCCTAAGTTTGTCAGGAGTTCTTGGCTGTGGGGGTCCCTATAAATATAAACGTACCCCAAAAGGAAGAAGTCACTAAATGATGAACTTCGACTTTCCTGAATCGGGCGTACCAGTTCAAATGTCTCAGCTTTCTTCACACGGCCTCCCGATCTCCCGATCTAAGGCCTTGAAATCTTTGAGTATGGTAAAGATCATGTTTTATATGACCCACTGCCAAGACAGGTCTGAATAAAGAAAAGAATTAAAAGATTTGCGAGAACCAGAAACATGAGAAACCTTGCAGATTTTAGAATTTGAACCTCCTGAAAGATCTGAAGTCTAAAAAGACGGAATCTGGAGAATGGGAAACTGGAAAATCCGGTTAAAGTTACAAAAAAGTAAAAAAACAATTAGCAAATTCGGGTTTTTCCGGTATTACAAATACCTCCACTCTCTATGTAGCGTTTGATTCAGGCTAAGAATTTTACCTCAATTGAATTGACTTCGTCCGACGGATGGTCAGTGTTATGCAAAGCTATAAAGAGGCGCGATGATCCTCAATAAATGCAATTTAACAAGATAAAAAATCCGATACGATCCGAGCGAAATATGTACCTACCAATGTTCAAAGCGATTAGACGTTTCCAAGCAAAGTTATCGTGCACACGGACAGACAGAGAGTAACACAAAATTATATACTATCTCGAGAACCGTTAATAAGTTAACCCCACCAAAAAATATAAATTTCTCAATTCAGATTACATTAAATTATGTAAATTTTCACCACTCGAGAATCAGTCATGATACCGTTGACTAAAGGCTTGCGCGCACTAGACCGGCTCGACCGGCAACGGACGGAACCGTTACGGAACACGAATTTATTTTTACTTGGAAAGGAAATCGCTCATACATACCGGCAACGGACGGCCGGTCGTCAGCGGAAATCTCAGGCGAGAATACTTTTGCCATTATAGTGCATTCATCATAAGAAGGTAGTAGATGACGCTGTGTTTGAAAATAATCACACACAGGAAAAATATAAAATGGCACCAAATTATTGCAAAGTAGAAATACACTGCGAATAGAAATAAATCAAACGATTCCACGTTTGGATCTTTGACATTAACAGTGCATGACAGTTCAACAGTTTAGTTGGCAACCGGAACTAGCAAAATTCGTCACTCGTTTTATTTTTTGGTGTAACACTGACTCGTGTTTTAACCAATCACGATGAAGGTCAAAGCTTTCCTATTCTTTCTACCGCTATCCTCTTTTTTTTATTTATTATCCCTCTCTTGTTCTGGGCCCTCAACAGGCTTAAAATTTGTGTGTGTTTCGTCGTGGAGAAAAAGATGTCATCTTCGCAAAATGGATGAAGACTTTGCTTTTTAGCGAGTACAGGAAACTATATGATTTGAGTCATAAAAATTACTCAAATCAAGGAATAAAGTTTTTAAAAAGGGTAGCAGATCCTGAAATTGTTCATGCCATCCTAACATATTGAAAACTTTTTTCCTGATGAGTTTTTAAATCTGGGAAATATCCGAAACAGTTCCATGAAAGTTTCTAACGAACCTATTTCAAAGCCTAAAGCTGATATTACACGCGGTCCATTTATTTTTCAATCTTAAACAATGATCATTCCGTTCAATATTCTACAATACATTCTTATTCTCTTACCCACGCAAAAAATGTATTAAATTTCCAGCTTTTCATAACAGAGTGCCTACTAGATAAGAACCGGATGACAATCATTTTACAGAGTAGTTGGTGTTATAGAAACTAAACTAACAGATTGACGAAAAAATAGAATTCGAATCTTGAGCTTAAAAGATTGACACATGTAAATGCATTTCCGCCACCTTCAATTTTGACTCCAGTTAAAATTGAGGGACATGTAATTAAAACGTAATTACTGTAGGTAACCGCTTTTCGCACTATTTTGTGACTTTTATCATTTTAATATAAACTAAGTTTGGAAAGCAAATTAATAAGGACAGGCCAATTGCAGCATAGCGTTTGCTGCTTCCGGAAGTTTGCGAGTTTTTAAATTTCAATTTGCATTCAAGTTCTATACCAAAAAAATAAAGTTGCAGAACGTTTTCACAGAACCCGTCTACGAATCATAAAAGTCCTGCTCTAATCGCAACTTTTGGTTTTTACGCATGACTTATTCCTTCCCAAAGACAGAATACCCTATAAAATTTAACGGTCGAGGAAAAAAAACTCTCCCTACTTAGCGAAAATTTTTTAATATTATTCTAATGAGCTTGATGCATAAACCGAGCGTAGCAAATACGTACTTTCTGGTATATTTGTCTGATATCCACCTATTCAATAATAATAATAGTTTTTTGGTAAATCGAAAAATTTTATCTCACCACAAGGTACTTACAAAGTGTGATTAAAGTAGGTGTTCCTGCACATTGGGTAACCAATAATGCGTGTCACTAGATACTGACTGTTATAAATTACTAATATTTCTACTGAGAGCATTCAGATGGCTACCGTTAGTCACTTATTTAACGTCTGAATCTAAAATTTGACGATAAAAACTAGTCTGATGGGTTGAAGTGAAATTTAATTTCATGCGCAAAAAGACATCCTAGCTTCGTACGTAATATAACACTCATTGAAGAATAGAAATACAGTGGCCTATATAGGGACGAGTTTGCATGCAAAAGTGTTCTATATTCCCAATCTTTGTGCATCAATCAACCTTTAATATAATCTTTTACCTTCGAAACTTGATGGATAACTGTGCTCGTCTGAACCTGGTGGCGAGTGTTCGTAATGGTGTGCATGATAATCATCTATACTTTGACCTGAAGGCCCACTTGGACCGCCAGTTGCACTAGGGCCACTTGTACCGCTGTATCCGCTAGGTGGTGACATGTAAACTGGTTCTACTATCCCTATGAGGACCAATACTTTCAGTTTTTATATGTCGGTCAATCACAAATACACGCTATTAAAATTAATGATAAAAATTGAAAGTTTACCTGAAGGCGCCGTGTTATGTCCCACTGGACTGATCAATACAGCGGTAGATGCGATCTGCTTTCCTATATTAGAGAGGGCTTCTCCTTTCGCGCTGATTAGTTTTCCTTTCGCCGAAATAAGGTATCCGGATCCTTTAATAATTTGTCCCTTAACAGCTAGGAGGCCGCCCTTAATTGCCTTGGCAGCTTGAAAGAGTGTCCGGAAAATGGCCTTTTGTAAATCCCAAAAACTAAAACTCTTCTCCTCATCGATTGGCGGCGGCGGCGGCGGGTAATGCGAAAATTTACTTCCGCTTGCACCCGAAAATAACGAACTCGCGTGAGCGCTCGCCGAGGTCAATCCGCTTAGCTTCGATTTAAAACCATGTGAAAGCTTTGATTTGACAGAGCCTAAAATATCTCCGGAACGTTTACGCCGTATTGCTTCGCTCCTCAAATAATCTAAGTATTGTCGATCCGATGGTGAGAGATCTTGCAGTGTTAGGTGATGTAAGGGCGAACTCATCGCTGTATTTTGAACATTTATTATTGCCAATACCGCCAATATACTGGTTAACGTTACAGCCACCTGAAAAATTAATTACCAAATAACTACTTTCATTAACTGGAGTGTCATTTTCTCTTTCATTGATTAAGAGAAAGTACAACACGAAAAAGGATGGATTTGTTTACAACTGCTTTTAGCTAGAATCTTATTTGCAAAAAAATGAGTGCAATTCGAATCGAATTCGTTAAGCGGTTTACATAAAATTGCTAATTCGTTTTTTATTTCTGAAATTTAAGCATTATGAGGATAGTTTATGGACGTCTACTTAAAATTGCAGTAAAAGTTGTATAAAAAAATATAGCCGTAAAAGTTTATCCATCATTTATTTATGAATCGCTTAGGTATAAAGGCGTTTGAAATATTTTCAAGAAATGACCCTTACCTTTACGCAAAGCAGAATCTTACGTTTCGGTAAAAAGAGATATTCGTAATCATAAACTCCTGTTTTCATAAACACCATAAAATCACAAAATTGTGTGACACTTTATCAATGAAATTATACACCGTCAATACATAAGTATATGAAGAAAGTCGCTGCTACTACAATTTAATTAGTTCCTTCGCTGAACACGAATTTTACAGCGAGTACATTTGACTATTCATCCGTAGTTTATTGGAATGCTAAATTAATTTATAAGAATAACAATTTAAAGACCTACAATAGGCTATATCTCACATACAAGACATGATACCAAAAAATGGTTAACGCCGTTTCTAGGGAGAACTTAAATGTAAAGGGGAACTCATCATAAACAACCCCCACGCTTCATCAAGGCACCAACACCAACTAAAAAAATTAAATAGCTAATCCGTATTTGTGATACATCATTAAAAATTCTACAATATAATATCCAATGTACAGGGCGTATCAATAATTACTAAATTAAAAATATATAACAATTTTAAAATCATGCATATCCCACTTGTGATACAATGTGCTCCACAGGCCAATAATAATTTATTTTTAATTAAAAGAGGCCATAATTCTACCATATTTGTGTGATACAGCTATTGTAAGTCTTTCAATAATTGTCATCCGTATATTAAAAAAAAAAGATCGTTGTTAACACGCAAACGTTTGCTATAATTTAATTTTTTTAGTTGGGGTTGGTGCCTTGATGTGGCGTGGGGGTTGATTATGATGAGCTCCCCTTTACATTTTACTCGTAGGTCTTCCTAGAAACGGCGTTAACCATTTTTTGGTATCATGTCTTGTATGTGAGATATAGCCTATTGCAGATCTTTAAATTGTCATTCATAATCTATAATAATTCGATCAAACAGGAGTGACGCAAAAATAATACAGCGACACTTGCTTTAGATTTTTTTCTTCCCCTTCAGAGGTTGTAATATACAGGGTGTTACATGACCGTATGTAAACAAAAATTGGGTGATGGAGGGGATCAAGACAAGCACTTTTTCCAAATAAACCGAGGATTACACGTGTTTTGTTTGGAAGCTATCCCAAAGAAGTGGTGAAATTTTGGTTTCTTCTTTAATTTTTGTCTCAGCAACCGTAAGAGTTACAAAGATTGAAACGATTTTTGGGCATGCCCTATCAGATTTTGAAATTTTGTTTCGAAAATTCCCACCACGAAGGTTGGGTGCTGTGATGCACCGGTTCGACATTGATTTTAATGTTAAGAAATGCCTGTGATCAATAATGTGAATCTGAATAAAAGGCAACACTTTGGTAATGAGAAAGTTGAATTAAGTGGTACCGAAAAGAATAGTAAAATTCCATATTTCAAAGTGCCATAACTATGTTTTCAAATGTAGCTACCACTATTTTATTTCTCTATTCGATAGTCTTTTGCATGCTCTTCAATTGTTATGAGTGTCCTGTGCTTAACCCCTTAGTTTTTAGGTTGTTTGATATTTTTCACAAAAATAGTTACACATTAATTAATTACATGTTTACGAACAGGACTAGGTCGTGATAATAAAAACCAAAGAATGCCAGAAAGTTAAGTGCCATAAATTTATGATTTGCTGCAAGTGTACCCTTATTTCGTAGTAAAATAGGATTATTTAAAAAGTTCATCTTTATCTTAGTGTTTTCTGCTTTCCTTTATTTCACTTGGTTAAATGTAAGGCTCAATAAATTTTATTATTATCTTTTTCGAAATTCGCCTTTTTAATTAATCTTATTTTACTACGAAATTGGGAGTACACTTACGGCACATAAATTATTTGTGACACTTGCTTACGTTCTGGAATTCTTTTTGTTTTTTATTATCACGGTCTACACCGGTTTATAAACATGTAATTAATTAATGCGTAATTATTTTTGTGAAAAATATTAAATAGCCTAAAAAGTACGGGGTTTAGGCACAGGACATATCTTATAAAAATTGAAAAGCACACAACAGACTAACGAATATAGAAATAAAATAGTGGCAATTCCATTGGAAAAAAAATGTTTATGACACTTTGGAATTTGGAAATTTTACTATTTTTTTAACACCCTGTATTAGTAAATCCCACTTCCTCATTGCCAAAGTGTTTCCTTTTGTTCAGATTAACATTATTGATCAAATGTAAGTATTTCTGAACTCAAAAATCAAGGTCGCCACGATTTATCAAAGTGGGGCTTGCGTATTCGGAAAAATATTAATAACTTGGTAACATTGACAAAAAACCAAAAAGTGAATAAGTTTCTATGGAGAGGTTAAAAAGTGATATCGAAACAAATAAAAATATACCAGGGTTTCCATTAAAAAAATCAGTTATCTATTGTAAAAAAGGGACACCCTGTACATTCAAAAATAATATCTGTAGATGCGCAACCATCTGTGGTTGACATTTGCACAAGAGGATTTTTGATATTTTTGACCAGGTGTGAGTGAGGAAAGACCGACGCACTGTTGCAGGACATCTCACCGTGCTATTTCTCCTTATATTTTCCATTGCTTACATTATATATATTATAAATATAGATACCACTGTAAATTAATAGGTACCTACCCTTCTTAAGCTTCCTTTTGGGTGGAAAACATTAAACAATGCAATGAATACCTATGCACAAAAAACGAAGAATACTATAGAGTGTATTTCAGAATTTAAGCTTTTAGTCACTTTTTTACTACAAATCACAAATATTATATCTATTGATTACATATTACGCTATCCTTAAGATGGGTTAAAAATGGGCTACTAATAGAATAGAAAGGAAATAAGACATCAACGAGAAATCTAAATTTCGAAAGTGACCATCAAACATCACTGTATGCCGGCGTATCCATTTGCAAGTTTCGACTCAGATTATAAACAAAATTCAATTAACTTATAACCATGCGTATAACTGAGAAGACGGACAGTGCGACTTTGATTGGACATGAGCATGTGCAGTGTATCCAGTATAAAAACTTTCAGTAGGTGCAAAAAGTATGGAGTGAAATGAAAGTATAACATTTAATTTATGATCGATTTATCTACTTCATTAATAAAGTTACGAATTATTGTTTTACATCTAGCCGTGATGGAATTCAATCCAATTCATTATTGTAGTAATTAGACACCGTAATAAATTTTACAAAGCTTTTATTTTGGAGACTTACCAAATTAACAAACTTTTGAACGTTAAGCAGAGCATTACATGAGATATGTGACAGAATGACCTACTCGCATAAAGAAACTCTTAGGAGACATTTAAAAAAAATTAATATTTATTAATTGCAAGTAAAAGTATTCATATTATAGATCGATTTGTTTACCCTGTAATCCAGGACGCTCATATTCAATTTCGTGCTTTAATAACATTTATTCGTTTTTTTAAGGTGTTAGAATGCAATTTTAATAAGGTCGTTCTATAAAGTAATACGTAGCTACCTACGGTAATAATGAGCTACTTCTGAGCATTGTGTGACTAATTACAATACAACATGCGATAATATTATCTTGATAAGTGAAAGAAATATCATCTGCATTATTGGAATTTTTATTTCATCTCATCGTTTGAAGGTGATTGTCCATGAACTAAGGATGAATAGTGAATTTTTTTAAATAAATAAACGTTTAATGAAAATAATAATAATAGGTGAATATGTGAAAAATGCATAGTCGGAAGTAATGTTACGATGAAGGCAATAATTATGGAGTGTCACGTAAATCACTTACGTCATATATACCACAGTTTTATTTAAAAATTTGACAACCTAAGTACAATCACTGTATGAACTTGCAAAATGTTTTATGCGTTGGGAGGAAAAGGAAGTACTTTGAACTAGTCGACCTGCGGTCGTTAAAGTGGTGATAAAATCGTGATTTCCAGCTAATAATTATACTGGATGTTACCAAAATGTCAATGGACAATGATATTCTGCATATTTGATACGAAAAAAATGTTGCGGTTTAAGTGCGATGCAATTAACGAGAAAAAAAGATAATCTTAAATGCTGTGGTGAAGATACTTCCTTTTTTAAATAGATAGTTGTTCCTAAAATTTTAGGTTTTATTAGTATACAAATTTGGCACTGATTTTTGGTCGCTGAAGGTGTGTGGCGGGTATATGAATCCACCCGGAGGTAATTTTGGCAATCTTTAGAGTGATAATTTATTAAATGAATATCAATGACGGTACCTCGTTTACTGTACCACCTCTTTACTTTTTTCTTCCTTAATTTACTTTTTTTCATAATGATCTAAGAGAACTATTGCTGCACCTTTTTTCTGATCTATTGCACTCATCAATCTGCCATTTTTAACATATTTACACTTGGCGTACTCCTGAACAACGATTGAACGAGAAGGGTAAAAATGATACTCATGCAATGCTCGCCAGCGTTGATGTCTGCTAAGCTCAAACCGAAGTGTGTACGTGAAGGGCTGCTTTAAGGCATTATATGTCTATAATGGTCCAAGGTGCTTTCTTGCCAGCGGGACGCGTCTTTTCCAGCAACGAATTTTATACCACTGATGAATTAAAAATAAAGGCAAATTTAAACTGTTCAGTTAAATTGGTTCATTAATTATATTAAAACGGTCATGACCTTTACGATATCAGTGTACACTTTTTTGTTAATTGTTCGCTGCAGTTTTGTTCCACCATAAGGAAACACAATGATCATTTTTATTGACGAACGTTTTAATAAGAAACCATTTTATTTCTGCATGGGAAGTTGGGAACACAACAAACGTTAGAAATATATTCTAATGTTACATTACCCACCTTAATTTTTAACTAAAATAATTTGTTTGTTGTATAATATACATTAGATAAAATATGTTTATTTCAAAGATGCCGATTACAATCGCATCTCATACTTTTCTATTTAACAATGAAATTCTTGCTGTTACTTACATAATCATATAAAATGACTGTTGAATTAAAATAATAGCTTCATTAAAATGTTTGCTGTTAATTCTAATTCGTCGATTGTCTCGCGTATAGCCGTATACCCTAATGGATTGAACGTATGTTCCTGAAACACACGCACGCTTTGAGAAAACATTTTAATTAAATTAACATTTTAATTCAAGAATCATTTTAAATGGTTTCGTAAATGTTATCCAAATAATTGTCGAATTAAAATTTCTGTCGAAAATTTACAGGTTTAATATTTATATATCTATGTGTTTTCTCATTTTTATTAATCTATGTAATGTCATATCAATAAAAATTCAATTCCACAGTAAAAGAAGTTAACTAGATTCTTTAACACAGTGAACTCCCCAAAAATCAGGGATGATAGATACATAATCATTTGGTTTTTCGAGTTTCCGACGGCTAATTCAAATGGAATTACGAAGGAATATAGATGTTTATGGGCACTCCGAAGCATATCAAAGAAATGCTTGAGCACATTGTGAAAACCAAGAAAGAGGGCTTGCATGTTAAGTGCAGGCGAAGGAAATGATGAAGGAAATACGAAAGGGCGACAAAGTATATTTGCTGAATAAGGGTCTTTACGGATTACATCAGGCGGGTAGAGCCTGGAACGATCAGCTGGACGCAAAACTCCGAAATTTAGGGGCTTCGGTTGCTTTGGATGCAGGTCCGTGCATAATATATCGTTAAGAAATCACCATCACCAGCTACATTATCATTTAGGTACATACGTCGACGACATACTAATTATGTCAAGGAACGAAGCCGAAATTAATTGATGTAAAGATCATCTGTGCCGTAATTTTGAGGAAACGGATTTGGGGGATCTAAAATATT